AGCAGGTCGTTATTTGCCGAGGGGTCCCAGACTGCGAGAGGGCACAGGCCGGGCTGGGGGACCCCCCTCCCCCCGCCCCCCGAGTGCACAAATTTTTGTGCACCGGGCCTCTAGTTTGCATATAACTCTATGGGTAATTAACAGTTAACAATTTTTCTCATGGTATAATGAAAACAAATTTGTGTTTTTTTAGTATGTGTTAAATACCAACAGAAAAATGAAGGCAGAAAATAACACTAGATTAAATATATTGCCAAAAAGCACACCCATCAGCTGTTAAACTCCCTTATTGCAATTTGGTGTGTCTCTTACTAGGTTGTATGAAGTTCTTGTGAATATTTTACTTTAGATTAAGCCTAACTACCTTAGAGACACAAATTGCCTGGTTTTATAGTAAAAAGCTAGGGTCTGTGTCCATAGTGGTCTGGATGTATTTTGTCTGTTTTAGCATTTTCTTTGATGGAGTTAGTAATTAGCTTAAGTCTGTACTTAGATCCTTAGACAGGTAGTTCTAATTTTTTATTTTTATTATTTTTAATGGATTAAATTATGAACCCTGCAAGCATTGTGGCAGAATTCTCTGCATATTACAGATGAAAATGCTCTTTTTGTTTGCCTCTCAATGTTGAACAAAAGGTTGAGCATTCTTTTGGAAATATTTTTATTTGGCTTCTGTTTGCAGGAAGTTGTAAAATGCTCACAAAAGTGAATATATTCAGAATTTTATTTGTACAGTAGTCTGACACTTAGTTAATCAGATTTTTTTATGATAAATGTTACATTATTTAGGTATTATGGATTTATAACAGAAGCAGCAAACATAATTTGTAGGAGACTTCTTAAAATCAAACACATTTGTAATTGTCTTTTAACTTTGGAAATAAGGCTTGAGTGACAGGAATGCCAAAATGAAATATGTATAGGACTTGGTCAGACACTTGGACTTGCACATTTAAAGTGAAAGTTGGCAAAAGCTTGCCTAAACTCATTGTGAGGGACAAAGTTCAGCTTCATTAAAAGGTAGTTAATCAAACCTGTAACTTTTTTAAAAATTGATTTTAGAGAGAGGAAAGGAGAGAGCGAGAGAGAGAGAGAGAGAAAGGGAGAGAGAGAGAGAAATCAGTGTGAGAGACAAACATCAATCTGTTGCCCCTTGCACATACCCTGACCCTGGATTGAACCTGTAACCCAGGTTTGTGCCCTGACTGGGAATCCATCCTTCCACCTTTTGGTGTACAGAACGATCCTCCAACCAACTGAGCCACACAGGCCAGGGCCAAACCTGTAATTTTAAGGAAGGTTTTAAAATAAAGGAGGAGCCACCATCTTTGTTTTAACCTAAATCTGGCTTATTTAGTTTCTAAAGCCAAAATAACTATAGTGATAACATTGAATTTTCCTTAAGCACTCAATAGTAATCAGAGAATTTTGATGCTAATCAACCTACCTTACTCATATTTAGTAGGTTTCTTTTTTGCCTTCTTTCTTCTCCAACTCTATCATAGTTGGTAATCTCAATGAATTAAATTATTTATTTGAATCTCTCCCTCTTCTTTTAGAATGATGAGCTCCCCAAGATCATGGATTGCATTTTATTAATCTTTTTATTCCTAGAAAAGTGTTTGGATCATAGTGAACATTTAATAACCATATAATAATAGTGATGATTTTTTTAAATTGAGATCTCTTTTATGTCAGGTCCTATCTTAGCATTTTATGTGAGAGTGATCTAATTTAATCTTTAGAGTAACTAATAAATGTTAGGTACTATTATCTACTGTGTTTTAATACTGGCATTTTAGAGGAACTCTCTGGTGTGAAATGTGACCAATCATGGGTAGTCATGCACCTAATCTCACTAGAAATGTGTTGATCTATCTCCTGATGGCTAATCGAAGAGATAAAGTTAAAAGTATTATCAAAGAAAAATGGAACAGCTCTTTTCTTGGGGGGTTACCATTACAGATGGTTCATGAGTGATAGTCTTGAAGACAGGTAATAGTATTTCATTTTTCTGAGGAATAATGATATGTAAATGTTTCCTCCATACACTTTTAATCTATGTATTCCCGCTCTTCTCAGTAATGATTTTTGGTGTTAGCTGATGCTATTTATGCTTGTGTTTTTGTATGAACCAAATAGTTTGATTTGATTACTTATTCTTTGTATAATATATATTCTGAGTGAAGAAGGTAATATTGACTTAGATGAAGTTATTCCTTTTTGAACTATATTTCCCCCACTTATTTCTTTTTCTTCTTTTACTAGGTATTACTCTGATTGCTGTGGATGAGGCTCACTGTATTTCTGAGTGGGGTCATGACTTTAGAAATTCATTCAGGGAGTTGGGCTCTCTAAAGGCAGCATTCCCGTTGGTAAGCTTGCCAAGTACAATGTCTTTTACATCATCCTCTAGTATTTGTCTCCTCATTTGCTAGGTCCAGCTACCCTCTTCTTGGTTTTCTGCAATCATGCCAAGCATGCTCCTATGTTAGGGCTTTGTTCCTGCTCTTCCCTGTCCCTGAATATTTTCACCCAGGTAATTCACATGGTGTGATCCCTTAACTTCTCTCAGGTCTTTGCTGAAATATTACTTATTTAGGCCTCCTAGGCCACCATAGGAAAATTTCAAATTAACCCCTCCTCCAACATTCAATATTTCTCATATTCCTATTAGGGAGGAGTTTTTGATGGATTGCTTTATGAAATCTAGAACAGTATATGGCATATTGTGGGTGTTCCATAAATAATTGGGTAAATGAATAAATGAATCTGATGTGGAAGCTGATAATCAGATAAGTAACTTTCTCCCACAGGTAGTGAGTAGAAGAGTTGGCCAATAGCTACACAGTGGGAAACTGCTAGTTTCTAAAGCAAGCAATTTGAAATAAATATAAAACTTAGTTTCTGCCCTAAGATAGCTCATAATCCAGTAAAGATTAGATTCATACCTATAAAAATAGGAGCAATAACACCAAACAATCAGTGTTATGTGGAACAGTATGAATGATATAGAAAGATCAATAATGTTAATGGTACATGTATAGAAAAAGAAGATATTTGTATGGTGAAAGTCAGTAAGCCAGTGTACCTTAGGACTGCTTTCCAGTAATTTAGAATGGTTTTAAAAAAATAAGCTTTTGGATACTAAGAAGATTGCTTTCTGTAGTCCTTTCCTAGGCCTTTGAATCTAGAAGGATTGTGTTAGAGGAGTTTTAAATATTCTATGCAGCTCTTAAACACATTTTAGTGTTGAATTTAAGTCTTTTATTATGTCTGACTTTGGACTCCATTGGAAAATTTTCATTTCTTAGATGATTCAGTATAGCACAGAGTGTTTGTCAAGCAATGGCTCCGAAATCTTTTTCCCCTAGTGTTTTCCGGAATCCTTTTTATTAGCTAAGTGGTGAGAAATGCCACCTGGTGGTTGTGGGACTCCCATTTTCCTCACTGTTCTCAGTGTCTTTTTTTTCTCTTTCCCACTGCAATTACACTGGGACAATTGGTGTTAACCTGCAATGCTTCACACCACATTATTTCAATAAATCAAAAAATAGCAAAGAAATCACTAAACTGTTTGGTATAAAGATTCCAATTTGGAGAGAGTCAGAAGAAAGAGCACCCAGGCAGAAAGCTCTACATCAGTCTTAAAATCCCATCAAGTCCAAATAAGAGAACTTGTGAGATCCAGCAGACATGGTGGTTCTTTCCATTACTTTCTCTCCAGTGTATAGTACACACTCAGTAACTAATTGGAATGAATGAATGAAGAAGGAGAATGTTAACAGACAAGGACCGCCCGCAGCGGGTCTGCCTCAGACCAGCCCAAGTGTGTGCAGGAAAGATTTCACAACATGAGTCCGGGTGATTTTGAGAGTACATTTATTAATGCTGGGGTCAGTGAAACTAAGGAAGAGCTTGAGGTAGAAGAAATAACAGGAGAGGGTAGTGCTTTGCTTTGGCTTCTTAGACACATTATAGGAAAGAAGTGAGCCAAGGCAAGACTGCTGTTTGCTCAGTGGGAAGGTCATAGTGGAAGAAGTGAGCCACTGGGAACCACTTTTAGCTCCCTGGCAAATCAGGAAAGAGAGGGCCTTGGAGACAGGTTCAGGGGGAAGCCCGGGAGCTCCGCTGCTCCCCTGATTGTAAGTCTTGTGGGCGCCCTTAGATTTTAGGAGAAAGAAAATAAAAAGTTCATGTCCGAGAAAGGTCCTGTGCGTACTCCAGAGAGAATCCACACTGGCATCCTTAGTCTTGAGGGTTTTTATCTCTCCTCTGTGGGTGCAAAATTTAGGGAGGGAGAGTTTCAGAAGAATATTCATCAGCTTTTCAGGTGCGCTTATAATATGCTGATTCATCTGAATGAGCATATAGGGGAGTTTGGGATTAGTCTTTGGTTGGCTTTACTGTGTTACTTTTATCTTGGGTCTGTCTGGATTGAATCGGGTTTTTGTTATTTGTTCCCCAGACTTCATCTGTCCTTGGGTTTGGCTGGTACAACTGGCATTAATTGGGTCTCTGTTGCCTATCTCTCTAACCAGAGTAATTTAAGATATTTATTCTCTGGTTAGGGAGGAGAGGTAGAATCCATTTGTTCTCAAGTGTCCTTGGTCAAGGAAGATAAGGTTTTGCTGTCTGTAAGTTGTTCAAATTGTTTGGTTTTGTTAAATTATTTTGTCTCAGTTTCCCCATTCCTCTTGCCTAGGAATTTTCCTAGCTTCTTACTGTCCTGCCTTAGTATTATGGAGTATAGAGTTAGAATTAGCAACATGACCCAAATTTAGAAGCAGATGGAATAGTTATATTCTCTGAGTCTGTAGTTGTATACCATTGAAGTTTATATATGACTAAGTCATCCCTAAATTTATAGTCACAAGATTAATTTCTATTTTATTGTTTGTTTTAACAAAACTTGATACTTATTACCAAGGAAACATTTTTGCCAGCTTAAAGAATAAGAGTTTTATGAGTTAAGAACTTTATATAGGTGACAGTATAATTATCATCCAACCCAGTTTGCTTTTGACAATTAAAGGGTGCAAACTATTAATAATAAACTGGGAGCGTCCCAGCAAACCAGGATGTATGGTCACCTTTCTCATAACCAACCTATATATTATTTTTAAGCTTTATCCTCATTTATAAATTTTAAATGTCATAAAGCACAACAAGCTTCTAAGAGGAAAGATTCTATTCATTTCTGAAGTGAAAGTAAATAATTGTTGTTTCTTTAAGTTTAATATATCCCATTACTTTATTCTATTTTCTGTTTAGGGAAGCAACATTCTTAATTGTAACCTTTTAGAATCTTAGAGACAAAAGACTGAATTTACTGTGATTTTTTTTTTCACTGTTAGGTCACTTGAGTAGGGATTTTCTAGTGGCAAATGGGAATTTTTGTTAGAAGAGAGTCTAACATCTTGTAGCGTTCTCTCTATTTTGATGAAAAAACTGAGGCCAGGAGAAGTTAACCCTTGCCAAAGTCAGTGGCAAATCTGGGAGCAGTGCCCAGGGCTCTGGAGTTCTTGTATAGATTCTTTTTACTTGTTGCAATAACAGTAATAGCTGAAACTTTTTGAGTGCTTACTGTGTACTATGCATTATGTTCAGGACACAATATGTTTTATTTTATTTGGGCTTCACAATAACTTCATGAGATTGTTGCTATTATTTGTAGCCATTTTATAGAGGAGGAAACCAAAGTTTAGAGAGTGAAACAAACAGCTCAAAATCTCACATCTAGTTAGTGGCAAAGGCAGGATCTGAACTCAGGCAACTGAGTCTAAGCCAGAGGTTTTCACTAATGTGCTGCTATTTTGCCTGATTTTTCTGTTAACTTCTTCAAGAGGTGTCATGTTTCATGCTTCTTTCCTTATTTTCAGACATGGATTGCCCATCCACTCATATAGTACTTAGAACCAAACTAAACCCTCTTTTCCTATAGTTTTTATCCTGGAAACTTCTTTCTTTATCTGTATATGCAGTTAAACAGCAGGTATTTTATTAGTGCATTTATAAATTGTTTCAGTAAAGCACTTAAATTGATGAAAATGCTTTGTTGCTGTGTGGGTGAGACTGTGCATGTCCCAAGAATGCCTAATATTTAAACTTCCCTTGTTCTTAGTTTTATATTTGATATCAATATTTTTATTTTATATGTTTGATTAGAGAAACTAACTTCTTTATAAATTGGCCTATTCATCTCTAAACTGTAAGGCAGGTATTCTTTAAATTCAGAGAACTGTCTGATTATAAACCAGAAATTAATGAAGTTAATTTGGGGGTTACTGTTTTAAATAATTTAAGGATAGGGAATGCAAAAATGCTAATCACCTGGTCAAATTGGTTTTGTTACATTTTTTCCATGAAAAAAAAAAACGACTCCCAAACCTAATTGATACTTTTTACATGAACTTTGAGATAATTTTTTATTAGAGCTATATTGATTGTAAAAGTAGTTTTTAGTTTTTAACAAATTATTTTTCAAATTCTATAAGTGCTTTTTTTTTTTTTTTTTATAACAAATTGCACATACATTTTCACTTACATAAAAGAGAATTGCTTACACTGATTTTTGAAGTAGATGTAGTGTATCTGAGAGCAATTTTATGAGGATATTGGTAGCCCAGTTGGTTGGAGTGTCATCCTGATTTTTAAAGTTTTTTTTTTTTTTTTTTTTTTTTACAAATTGCACATACATTTTCACTTACATAAAAGAGAATTGCTTACACTGATTTTTGAAGTAGATGTAGTGTATCTGAGAGCAATTTTATGAGGATATTGGTAGCCCAGTTGGTTGGAGTGTCATCCTGATACACCAAGTTTGTGGGTTTGATCCCTGGTCAGGGCACATACAGGAATCAGCTATTGAAGACCAATGAATGCATAAATAGAATGGAGCAACAAATCGATGTTTCCCTCTCTCTCTCTCTCTCTAAAAAAAAGAATATTTTAAGAAAGTTGTATTCTTGGATATAGAACAGCTAATAATTTAGGAACAACTTTAAGACCTAGTCCACTTTTTTTCTGAGTATGAAACAATAGCATAGTTGATTATAACTCCCTATGAGAATAGGGACAAAAAATGTTAAATCTAGTTTCATGGGAGGTATGTTGTTATAACTTATTTAGAATTTCTGAAAGATTATGTATTCATATTTTTCCTGGTATGTGCTGTGCCTCCAGCTTTGGCTGCTAATCCAGTCAAAAAGTCTGTGCTAAGCTGAAAATAGAACATGACTTGGTTGCTCAAGGAATCAATTAATAATAGATGTTACATTTTATGCGTTTTTTTTATTTGTACTATGTCATGATTTACTTAGTGAAATTGGAGAGAAGATATTCTGGTCATTGAGAGCTTTGCTTCTAGATCTGAGAAGCTATAAACCAATATTTTTAATATCAGAGACAAAAAAGATTCATTGCTTTGCATAGTTAGATTTCCAGTGAATGAAAGAGTTTATAATTTGTGAATTACAGATTAATAAAAAACACGGCATAACAGAACCCCCATTTATAGCAGCACGGTTACAAATACATATAACAAATATTAAAAAAAATAAATGGAAAGGTAGATAGCTAGTAAGAAGCCTTAATTTAATAAGGCAAGGTAGACTACATTTTGAAATCTAATGGATTTAGTATATTATTTAAATGATTCATGATTTTTAAAAAGTAAATGTATTTTAGAGGCCGAGAAACACATAAGTAGGAAGTTTCTTCTCCAAAAAAGTTAATTTGAAAGTTGCATTTTTAAACACTACTTCTTCTGTCATTGTTTCACAGTGTCTTTGTAAAAAGGCAGTAGAATTTTTAGGAATGAATGAGCTCTCTCCTTTTTGAAAAATTGATGAACTTCATTCAGGTTCCAATAGTTGCTCTCACTGCTACTGCAAGTTCCTCCATCCGGGAAGACATTGTCCGTTGCTTAAACCTGAAGAATCCTCAGATTACCTGTACTGGTTTTGATAGACCAAACTTGTATTTAGAAGTTGGACAAAAAACTGGGAACATCCTTCAGGATCTGAAGCAATTTCTTGTCCAAAAAACAAGGTGAGGATTTCATGGTTGATAAATTTATTTTATTTTTCTACTATTTCATTCTAATGTGTTCTTAACATACTTCAAATTCTACTTAGTTTTGGTTCAAGTCAAGCGTGGCATTATATGATCAAAATAGTGACTGCGATAATTTTTGAAATAAGAAATGAATTCTAATATTTTTATACTTCAGGCTGTTGCTTGAATAGGACATACACTCTTTTTTTAAAAGATTTTTTATATGTTTTTATTGATTTTAGAGAAAGAGAGAGAAAAAGGAAGGAGGGGGGAAGAGAGAGAGAAACATCGATTGGTTGCCTCCTGCACACCCCCTATTGGGGATTGAGCCTGCTACCCAGGCATGTGCCCTGACCAGGAATTGAACCCTCGACCTCCTGGTACATGGGACCATGCTCAACCAACGGAACCACACCAGCCCAGTAGGACATATACTCTTAATAATTGACAAGTAAACACATAAACAAATGAGTCTCATATCTGAATTTTATCGATTTTACTAATTATATTACAAACTTGAGTTTTAGGGAATTTTTTAAAGTCATCTTCTAATAAACACTTTTGAGACTATATCATGTGCCAAGTACTATCCTAGGCACTTTATGTGAGTGACCTTCCTCCTCCTCAGTGTTCCCTGTTGCATTCTCTACATGATTTTCAGATTTGTCATTTGAAAGCATATCCCCAAATCTTGGTGTTCTTTTCTGGTGGCTCACTCTTGCCTGTGGACTAAAGTCCAGACTCCTTAGCCTAACATTCAAGCCCATCCAAGATTTTGCTATTTAATGTGACAGTGGGTTTTCTGAAAGCAAGTCAAGGAGGATTTTGTACTTCCTTCTCAGTCCCCCAAGAATGGTAATTGTAGCAGGGCACCATTGGGAGTCAGAATGCTTTCTACAGATCTTAGGCAAGTAGAAGTTTTCCTCTTAAGGAGCAGTGAGATGGAGGGTATTAAAACTTCAAAGTATTGCTTTTTATTTCCATTTTATTTCCTTCATTTAATTCTGCCATTTTAAAAAATCAGTATTCTCATTTTTTCTATTCATTGAGCTAACATGTTTCTTAAATTCTGACCTTGTTTTCTATATTCATGATACATTTAAATTTGATAGCTAAGCCTCTCTCACCTCCCTAATCTAATGGAAGATAGATTTTCCCCCTTAGGAAATTGTGAGGGAATAACAGCCTTTTTAAAAAGTAAACGACTTGGCAAAGTAATGAATCCTTTGGTATTAGACATTTTTACTCTTTTGTTTTTTCTGCTGTATAAGTTCAAATTGTTATGTATTCTCCTTATTAAAAATTTAAAAAGTGACACAGTATTTGAACAATATAGACACATAAATTTCAAAGTACTTCGGTCTTCCAATCTCATTCCTCAGTTGTAATCACTGTTGATATTTTGTCATTCAGCTTTATAAACTTTTCTGTGTCTGTACTGTGCAGATATGCACTTCTAGTTTTCAGTATTATTAAATTTATGCAGAAGTAGTTTCACAGTAGATCCATTTTTTACTGTTTTTTTTTTCTTTAAGTATCTTTGCTATCTTTTCATAACAAGTTGTGTTTTCTTAAATTAGGGTCTTAATGTATAGGATATTACAATATCCACATTTTGGTTAACTATTTTTTTTCTTAAAAATGTTTAAGTGAGATTTTTGCACATTAAAAAATAATTTCTAGAAGTAATAATTTGTATTTTATCTCACTCCATGAAGTTATGTATTATGAGTTTTTGATATGGAAGCCCCATTTGGTCGCTATTAAAAATTTCTTTGAGTAGATTATTCAGTAATACTCTGTAATTACTCACTAATTTTCCCCCCTCTATTTATGTTTTTAATTATTTTGCCATAGTCCTTCTCGAAGGTTTTATGTGCATTTAAATGTTTTAAAAATATTTTATTGATTTTAGAGGGGAAGGGAGAGGGAGAGGGAGAGAGAGATAGAAACATCAATGATGAGAGAGAACCATTGACAGGCTGCCTCCTGCCTGTCCCCTACTGGGGATTGAGCATGCAACCCGGTCATGTGACCTGACCATGACCTCCTGGTTCATAGGTTGATGCTCAACCACCGAGCCACACTGGCCGGGCTACATTTATTTTTTAATGTTTGCTTAGTATTTTATAGTTGAATGTATATAATAATGAACATTTAGATTATTTTTCACTATTATACTTTTGCTATGAGTATTTGTGTATATGTGTCTTTTAGCCAAGGTGTAAATAAATTTGTAAAATAAATTACTAAAATTGAAATTGTGTCAAAGGATATATGTATTAGAAATTAAATAACCTTTCCTAAATCTAAAATAGAACATTCTTTTTATATTCATTAAGTCATCATAAATGAATGTATTTATGGAAGTGAATGTATTTATGGAAATGAATATATTAAGGAATTAAATAAGGTCTATGGAAATCATCATTTACACTTTTAGTAAATAAGCACAGGTTTTTAAAACAGACTTTCTAATAAATGTTGTCTATGACAGTCGTAGTCTCAAGATTACTACTAAATACTTCTTTGAACTATAAAAATCATCTTTTAATATTACAAGAAAGCTTTTGCTTTTTCTGTAAACAGAGAAACTCAATTTTATGATAATAAGAGAGAATAAGAATAATGTATTATAAATTTTATTTGCTCTCCTATGTAAATATTTACTTACCTTATGTAAATGAAGACTAATTGTTAAACTAGTGCTTTGTATTTCCAAAAGTATGGAAATTGCATTTCCAATAGTTTCTAAGTTTTTATCAAGGCTTCTGCTTAAATAAATAAACTTGTCTCTGGTTTTAATTTGGACAAAAACTGAGTCAAAGGTGTTTAGGGTTTAACATAATTCATTTTCACATTTGACCCACCATAATGTTTTAGATTTTTATGTAGTTAAATATATCATTGTTTTCTTTATGCTTTCTCCTTTAAATCTTTTACTAAAAGGAAAATTAAATTAAAATTTAATTAAAATGAAATTAAAATTTAAAAAGGAAAAATTAAATAGATGAAATTTAAACTGGTCTGAATCATATATATATATTTGTTCTTATGTTCTTTTTCTTTAGTTCTGCCTGGGAATTTGAAGGTCCAACTATCATCTATTGTCCTTCCAGGAAAATGACAGAACAAGTTACAGTTGAACTTAGGAAATTGAACTTAGCCTGTGGAACATACCATGCAGGCATGAATAATAGTTCAAGGAAAGAGGTTCATCATAAGTTCATGAGAGATGAAATTCAGGTGAAAATTGATCATCATTACTCTCTATCCTCCATAGTGGTAACATATTCCTCTATTTACCAAATCTTTATTGAATGCCTTCTTTGCATTGAGCATAAAACAGCTCTAATAAAGGGAATCAGAGTTTAATGTGGGAGGTAGCTATGTGAACAAACTATTACAGACTAGTATGGCTAGCAGCCTGTACATAGTGCCTAGGTGCACAGAGGTGGGAATGCTATCTGTTTATGTGGGTTAAGTAATGGGGATGGTCCACCCAGGAAGAAGCAATTTGAGTAGAGTCTGAACAAATGAATAGAAGTTTGTCAAGTGTGCAAGGCCAGTAAGTGAAGAAGGAAAAGAAAATTGTTTATAGAATTCCAGGAAGGAGGGCTAGCATGTGCAAAGCCCTGTGAAATGAGGGTGTAGGAAATTGTGAATAGTTCAGAATGGTTGGAGAGAAAGAGAGTATGGAGTAGGAATGGCTTAGAGTAAAGATACAAAGGGAGGAGGAACTGTTAGAGACTCAGAGCTGTTAGAGACTGAGGAAAGTTGAATGGGTTGGTTGGCCAGGTGGTAGAGGGCCTTAAAACTTACAAAGAGGCAGGCTGGGATTGGTGTGAAGTGCCTCTCCATTGTCCAGACTACTTTAGCCTTGTAATTTTTTACTTAAATGAAATTTTATATAATAGGTAAGGCAGGTTAAAGTAGAATAATTCTTAAAGTTGATGTGAGGGAGAAAGGGGTACAAGAGCCTCCTTATCTTTAAGACAGTCCTTGTGGGCGTCGTATAATCCCCAGAGCTCCACAGAATGAAGTTTGAGAACCATCTATTCTGTGTTTCTGGGCAAGATAATATATATTATAGAAACATGAGACTGATAACACTAAGTAGGTTTGATTTGAAGGAGGAAAACTGAAGAGAGGAAGGGTATCCATGAAGTTACTGTGAAGAGTTACAGTGGTTGAAGTTATGTAATAATTTCAAACTGTAATGATTGGAATCCTGGTTCCGGGTGCCGTACAGAATATTTGGAAAGATTTAAATTCAAGCCACGTTAGTAGGTTTTAAGTCAACAACTTCATCCTGTCAACATCATATCCACAGTCACTATAAGCCTGTGGGCCAGTCCTCCTCTCTATCCAGCTCTCCCTATTATATGTAGTTGATAACCACCCCAAAGCAATATTGTTCAAACAACTTACCTCATGTCTGGTGTGTGTGCACTCCCTATAAAATTCTCTATGAATTGTCTTGTTGTAATGCACATCTGCCTGAAAGTATCTATTCTCTTTCTTCCTCTTCTTTTTAGAGATATGAACAGCTATCACAACTGCCTAGAATAGAGATTTTATCCATATTCTTAAACGCTTATACTTTTATTTTATTATCTCAGGAGCTTGAAAATTGTCAGATAAAATGTATTAACTGGCCCTGGCTGGTTTGGCTCAGTGAATAGAGCATCGGCCTGTGTACTGAAGTGTCCCGGGTTTGATTCTGGTCAAAGGTGCATGCCCTGATTGCAGGCTCAGTCCCCAGAGGGGGCGTGCAGGAGGCAGCCGATCAGTGATTCTCTCTTATCGTTGGTGTTTCTCTCTCTCTCTTACCCTCTCTCTTCCTCACTGAAATAAGTAAAAATATATTTTAAAAATGTATTAGCTGCTGCTTACTGAATCTTTACAATCAGTGTTTGAGCCATTAACTGACCATGATTTCATCTATTATGGTATATTGCTCATTGTTCATTTAGGTAAAAACATCTCCTAAGAGACATAGAGAGTACAAACTTTATCTACATATAATTTGTTGTGTTGGGAGACTTGTTGGATGCTTCTGGGCTTCCTGCCAATATGCAGCTTCATTGAAACATTGCTCTTAACATGGCTTTAAAAGCCTCACAGCAATCACCAATCAGACCTAATACTGGAAGGGTATATGCATGTATGTGCTGTTATATTTTCCCTTTTTATGGCAGGATGTCACAAGTTTTTATCCACATTATGAAAATTAATACATTAATATTGATTGTGTCACCCTAGGCCAGTGGTCAGCAAACTGCGGCCCCTTGAGTGTGGCTCTTCCACAAAATACCACGTGCGGGCGTGCACATACAGTGCGATTGAAACTTCGTGGCCACACTCAAGGGGCCAAAGAGCCGCATGTGGCTCACGAGCCGCAGTTTGCTGACCACTGCCCTAGGCTGACATTAGGGTTTCTCTTATGTCTGACAACTGGGCATTGTACTCGTTCTTTGCCATTATAAAGAATTCTAAAGTTTCACATATGAAGTGAGAGTTCTCACACACCTTCTAAAGAGGATGAAAATACATTTCCTCATCTATATAAAATAGTTTGGTGCTTTTGGTATTGACTACTTGCCATTGAGTATTGAGTGCCTATTGAATGCATACATATACAGAATTCTCAATATTCACACTCTGGTCTTTTTATAGTTGATTTGTACTTTAGTATGAGCATAAAAGTAGAGCTCATATTCCCGGCTCACTTTCCTGGCTCTTAATGTCTTGGACTGAGTGATCCTTAGAATCTTAGTATTTTCTGTTTTATAATTGTAGAAAAACTTTTTTTCTTTCTGATTATTCATAACCAAATCTAACCACCTTTGGGTGTAGATTTGCATTTTCAGTCTATGATCATTCATTTTTACTTTTAATCCTAACTTTTAGTTTTATGTTCTTTTGTATTTTATTTGTGCTTTCAAGATGGCTTGAATTTCTTATCTTTCTGAAATGAGGTTGTGAATTAATTATTTTAATATATTATTGATTTTTTTACGAGAGGAAGGGAGAGGGATAGAGAGTTAGAAACATCGATGAGAGAGAAACATCTATCAGCTGCCTCCTGCATGCATCCTACTGGGGATGTGTCCGCAACCAAGGTACATGCCTTTGACCATTGAATCTGGGACCCTTCAGTCTGCAGGCTGACGCTCTATCCACTGAGCCAAACCGGTTAGGGCTGAATTAATTATTTGGTAAAATATCTTGTATTTACACCTGAGAGAATAGGTTGGTCTCATCTAAGATTAGTATCGTATGATGAAAATTAAATCTTAAAAGTTCTACACACACACACACACACACACACACAAATGAAGTATATGAGATGATGAATGTGTTAAGTAACCTTATTATAATCATTTAACAATAGGTATGTATATCAAACCATCACATTATATATCTTAAACTTACACAATGTTATATGTCAATTATCTCTCAATAAAGCTGGAAAAATTAAATAAGACATAACATTTAAAAAATAAAATTAGAATGATGTTGCTTATTTACTCTTAAATACAGCAAAATTGCCTACTCTTAATCACTCAAAACTTTTTCTTAACATATTTCCATATCTATATTTATTTTTCTCTCACCTTTATTGTTCAGCATGTTCTTTTTATTGGCTAATATTGGTCCATATTAACACATTTTTAAAGGCATTTTAATTTTTATCAGTTATGCATGTACATTAAGAACTAAATAGCTCTACACATCTACAATGAAAAGCATCAGCCCCTCATTCCTCCTATTTATATCTAACCTCATTTCCTATCAATATTAGCATAAAAATTTTGATTAGTCAATATATATTCAAATATATATACATAATTATTTATCTGTAAATGGTTTTTATTGCTAAGCCATGCAGTATATTATAGTTACTTTTCTTGCGCAACTTCATGTATTGTTATTAATACTTTTTAAAATCTTTATTTAGTTTTTTGTGTTCTTGTCATTAATTCTTCCCTTAAATTTATCCAATTATGTAAATCTTCATACTACAGTATATTAGCTGTTCTACCAGTTTTATCCTTTTAAAGATGCAGAGATAAATTCATGTTTTATTTTACCATTTTTAATGAGTCACTTCCTTTCATCTTAGAACAGTGTTAGAAAATATTACAATACTATGCAATCAGGTAAGGACTTTTGAAACTTCATAACACAAAAGTCTCATTTAATATAATAATTATTTTAAGATCCTCTTTTGTGACTTGTACTTATTGCTAAAGAGAAAAACCACTTTTAATTTTTATAGAGTGGAAACAAGTTCTAATTTATGATCACTGATCCTTAATCTGTAAATTGGGTGGGTAATCGTTTGATCTGTAAGTGATTGGTTAAAATCATATTAAGTTCAGTTTTATGCCAAGGACTTTAGCTAATTATTCTTATTAAAAGGTAAAAATGTAAGATTTTAGTTCTGCTAAATGTTTGTCAAACTATGTTGTTATTTATTCTCAGTGTGTCGTAGCTACCATAGCTTTTGGAATGGGCATTAATAAAGCGGACGTTCGCAAAGTCATCCATTATGGTGCGCCTAAGGAAATGGAATCTTATTACCAGGAGATAGGTCGAGCTGGCCGGGATGGACTTCAAAGTTCTTGTCACCTACTCTGGGCTCCAGCAGACATTTGCTTAAATAGGTAAAAACATGTATTGCTTTCACACTTGCAGGTTTTTTTTCTTTCTTTCCATATAAGTTTTGAAAGCATTTGAGGCAGCATCAAAAATTTCAAGTAATGTGCTTTAAGTGCATTTAAAAAGAAACAGAGGACATCTAAGAACATTTGTGGTAAGTGCTGCCACCCAGAGGAGAGGACCTATTTTAGCCAGACCTTATTTAGTATGAAGAATTAACTAAATCAGGATTCTATAGGGAATGTAGCACAGATCCCATGTAATGATTTCCTAATATTGTGCACCTATGAGCTATTTATTTTTCCTTGGGTGCTCTCAAGTTGTTGTTGTTTTTAATTTTGTTTTATTGCTTATAGTATTACAAAGAGTATTACATATGTCTCCTTTTTTTTTCTCCCCTTGACCTTCCCCTGGCCTCCCTACCCCCCGGTGTCTTGTGTCCATTGATTATGCTTATATGCATGCTACAAGTCCTTCGGTTGATCTCTTATCCCTCCCACCCAACCCTCCCCGGACTTCCCGCTGTAGTTTGACAGTCTGTTTGATGTTGCTCTGCCTCTGTATTTATTTTTGTTCATCAGTTTATAATGGTCTTAATTATCCATAAATGAGTGAGATCATGTGGTATTTTTCTTTCATTGATTGGCTTATTTCACTTAGCATAATGCTCTCCAGTTCCATCCATGCTGTTGCAAATGGTAAGAGTTCCTTCTTTTTTACAGCAGCATAGTATTCCACTGTGTAGATGTACCACAGTTTTCTAATCCATTCATCTGCTGATGGGCACTTAGGCTGTTTCCAGATCTTAGCTATGGTAAATTGTGCTGCTATGAACATAGGGGTGCATTTATCCTGATTGGTGTTTCTGTTTTCTTGGGATATATTCCTAGAAAACCATTAATTTCATTACTGGTTTTTTCATCCCATTGAGCTCATTCCAAATGACTTCTGATCATCCCTATTTGGATATCTTTACTATTTGTTTCCTTTGTTAGTTCTGTGAGAGCATGCCAGCTGCCCTTGACAGCGTGTGATAATCATGTTGTTCTTTACTGATTGACTGTCATGAAAAGAATTTAAGTGTTTAGTGTTTAAATACAGGAAAACCATTCTATGTAAATACTAAACAGCTATTTTGGTGGCACTTAAGTTCTATGAAATTTATATTGGAAAGGAAAACTTCACCTTGCAAAATTTTTCAGGGCAGGGTTTAGCAACTGATTCTCTCATCCATAGGGGAGAAAATTTCAGGAAAAAAACTTCTATGTGGTAACTGATGGGCCTGCCAAGATGAAGAATTTTCAAAATGCACCTCCATGTAGCTGGATAAATTGAGCTCTTGAATGGACATATTATCCCACTTTATTAAAATTATGAGAATGCCTATCCAATACAGTTTTAATTTATTCATCATTTAACAGTGCCCCCCTTTTTAAGTGCCCACTGTGTTCCAAGCATTAAGCTTTCTGATGGGGATACAGTGATAAATAAAAGCGGATATGGTACCTGTTTTCATAGAGTTTACAGTGTAATGGGAATGGCAGATCCTAATCACAGAATCATACAACTATAGATACATAGGGTTCATTTTACTATTCTCTTTTTCTATTTGAAAATTTCACTACTCAGAAGATTTTTTTAAAGGATCAGGCAAATATGTGTAAAATTACAATTATGTTAAGTGCTATGAAGGAAAGTTGCATTGAGTAGTGAGTATATAATGGGGTGTGTGTTTACGGTTGAAAGGTCAGGAAAGTCCTCCTTCAGGAAGTGATAGGGTAAATTGAGACCTGAAAGAAGAATTAAGGATTAATTAGGTGTAAAAATGTTTGCTATAAACGTTAAGCTCTTTCTTTTACTAGTAAGAGCAGTCAGTAGCTTTTGTTGCTTAACATAGAATCAATAAAACCATCCTCTTAAACAGGACAATTACTATTTTCCTTTTGACACTGGTGTCCATAACTGGGATAGAATACAACTCTGCATGCTACTAGTAAGTTTGGGATTGTATCAAACGTAAGTTGATTCCTGTTAGTTCTTATTTTATTAGGGCATTATGCTGAAGGTGCTGAAGATAGCCTGAATTCTATTTTGTAGCTTTGCAGGTTTACCAGTAGCGATATCTCCTATTTTTCTGGGTTTCAAAAAATACTTTAAATGTTTTTTTTTTCATTGAGATTTAACAGATTAGTAATCAGATAGTGGTCTTTAGGGTAGATGGTTGTTTTTTGCGTCCACCCTAAGGGAAATAAAACTAGGGTTAATCAGACAAAGCAAAAAGTTTTCTAATAAATGAAGTTGCTGGTTCTCAACTGAAAAAGTCACTGTAATTCACAAAATGTTTAGACTCCTATGAGAGAAGAAACTTGTCCAGCCATCATTGTAAATGTGTAATTTTATATTTCTTATTGCAGAAGCCATACCATTGGCAAAGTCTCAGTGTCTGCATTTGCCATTATTTTAAACAGTCAAACCCAATAGTTACTATGTATTGTAACTTTTAAGGAAATAATTTGCAAATTAATCTCAATTCTTCCATTGGCTCTAACTGATTCCTATTTATGGTATTGTTTTGTAGAAATTTTATTTTTTCCAATAGGATTTTGTATTTTAAATATTGTAATAGTCCCAAAAGAAAAGAATTTATTTGATTTGATGTTAGAGAGTTGTAATTTTATTTTCTAAAATTTATTATTGACACTGAGAAGATTAAATGTAGATCATCTGAACCAAATATAAGAGTGAATCTAGTTCTTAGAGTGTAGGCATTTTTCTTTGCTCTTTCTGAGAAGGAGGTAAGCTAAGTAAACTAAAGCAAAAAGAACTGATTTTTAGCCCATGATCTAGGAAGAATGAGATTAGATGCTAATCTAGGAATGAAAGTCAATAGTTAGAAGAGACTTTTAGGAAATTACAGGCATACCTTGTTTTATTGCACTTTGCTTCATTGCGCTTCACAGAGGTTGCTTCTTTTACAAAATTGAAAGCAAGACCCTCCCCAGCAAAAATATTATGACATGCTTATTGTGTACTTGCTCTATCGTGGTGGCCTGGAACTGACCCTGCAATATCTCCAACGTATGCCTGTATATGGAAGGGTGGTTAGTGGTGTCGAATGATAAGATTGTTTTGAATAAGACATCATTTGTGTGTTCAGACTTTGCAGAAATCAGTTAACTGGATTCCCTGCTGGTGTCATCCTTGAGAGTTGTACAGTGGTATTATTATCAGTCAGAAGTTCGGATAGTCAAAATATGAGTGAGTGAGGTCTGTTTAGATGACGATCAGTATTATCACCCAGATCTTATAGGTAAATCATTGTTTTCCTTTGAAATATCCAAAACATATTCAACTAAAACTTCTATTTATTCTTGGAAAGAATTCTTGGAAAGATGTGCAATATATTTAGGAGATTGTCATTATGTGATACCTGCTATTCGTAGAATTTCTTCACAAAAGACTGGAAGAAACAGTCAGGATGAGTTATAGCAGCATTAACTTAAAAACAAACAAACATGTCTTTGGCGTTATTAACCATTTAAAATAAATTTAATTTTATAGAAAACACATCAGTTTTAGTTGTTTGAGGAAGGAACTTAATTCCGATACTTTACTGGTGTCCCATAATAACGCCCTATAATACAAAGAGAAATCCTCGGAAGAGTTAAAAGGGATCTAATTTCATGTTTGGATCATGAACCTCTTTTAGTATTCCTTACATAGCTGCTTTAGTTTCTCCTGTAACATAAGTGAAAAAAAATAACTTTTAACTGGGAAAAGGTGAAAATTTAGATATAGTAGAAGGATTACCCAAAAGCATGTAGCATATAAATCAAAATGAAAAACTTTAGGGTTTATAAAAAATTTTCAAAGATAGCTAAAAATTGATGCTTGGACACAGGTAGAATTCTTTCAAAAATAATTTCATAAAACAATCAGAAAAATGCTTGCTTCTTGTGAGGGGCATTGACTGGCAAGGGGCACATAACTCTGGAATGATAGAAGTGGTCTTTGTCTTGATAGGGGTGTGGAGTGATAAAATAATAACTAGATAACTAAAAAGTAACAAAATCACTAATGCAATTTTACATATTACTGTGATATTTTTAATTGACAGGCACCGCCTTAATGAGATACATAATGAAAAGTTTCGATTATACAAATTAAAGATGATGGCAAAGATGGAAAAATATCTCCATTCCAGCAGATGTAGGCGACAGTATGTATTATTTATTTATATCAATGAATCACATAGATTTATGGGTGGTGCTCTTTTAAGAAAAAATTTTGCAAAATAATTAGAAGTATTTAGAAAGAATATTTTGTTGGTGTTGAATATGTGCTGAATTTTTAAGGCAACTTTCTTTTTGCCTCAGTAAACTGAAGCCAAATAATGAGGTCCCAGGTGAATCAATTAATTCACCTCATTATTTTCAGCAATGAATTTAACATATATGTTTTTGTTCTTTTATTTAATTTTAAATCTTCTCTTGGGTAGACTCATCTTGTCTCATTTTGAAGATAAACAACTACGAAAGGCCTCATTGGGTATTATGGGAACTGAAAAATGCTGTGATAATTGCAAATTCAGGTAAATATTTCTTCTTCTAGATGAACATTCTAAAAGTCTATTTCTTTTGCTTTGCAAATAATTTTTAATTGAATTTTTGATGAATGATATGTATTATAGTTATTTATATATCATTATTTTTAAATGTATTTTTATTTCAGGGAGAGGGAGAGAGAGATAGAAACATCAATTGGCTACCTCCTGCACCACCCTTATTGGGGGTTGATCCTGAAACCCCGGGCATGTGCCCTGAGCAGGATTCGAACTGGTGACTTCTCGGTGCATGGGTTGACGTTCAACCACAAGCTACACTAGCTGGGCATGTATTATAGTTTTTGAAAACAAAATAAAAAAAGATATTTAAATAAATGACAAAGCAAACAATATTAGAGTATTTTGCTTTATAAATAGACAAACCAATAAAGTGGAAGACCTAAATCTAAACATAGCAACAGTTACATTAAATGTAAATGGTCTAAAACACCATTTAAAGGCTGACATTTTTAGAATTGGTTTAAAAATATGACCGAACTAAGAACATCATCAGAGGTAAATAAGGACATTACATGATGATAAACGGGTCAGTCTATCAATGTATCAGTCAGGGTTCTTCAGAGAAACACACACACACACACACACACACACACACACACACACACACACACACAGAGAACTTAAGGAATTGGCGTGTGCAGTTGTGGGGGTTGGCAAGCTGGCAGGCTGGAAAGTTGGGCAGGATTTCTATGTTAACAGTCTTGAATCACAATTCCTTGTTTTTCAGCAAAACTCAATTTTTGCCTTCTAATATCTTCATCTGATTGGATGAGACCCCCTCACATTACCAAAGGGAATCTCCTTTATTCAAAGCAACTATTGTAAATATTAATCACATCCACAGATACTTTTATAGCAACATCTACATTAGCGTTTTACCAAACAATCAGGTACCAGAGCCTACCCAAGTTGACACATAAAGTTAACCATGATATTCAAGAACACGTAATCCCCATATGTGTATATATTTAACAAAACTGACAGAATTGAAAGGAGAAATAAAGAAATCCAAAATTACAGGTGACTTCAACCTCTTCTCTTGGTAATTAATAGAACTAGTAGACAAAATCAGTAAGAAGATAGGAGAAATGAACAGGACTGTCAACAGACTGGATCTAATTAATTTCTATAGAACCCTCCACCCGACAGTAGCAGATACACTTTCTTTTTAGGTGCTGATGGAACATTCACAAACACAGGCCATATTCTGGGTCAAAAAACAAACCATGACAAATTTAGATTATAAAATATATGGCATGTAGTTAAAGCAATCCTGAGAAGGAAATTTAGAGCATTAAATACTTAGAATAAAAGTTTCCAATCAGTAATTAAGCTTCCATCTTAAGAAGCAAATAAGAGCAAAGTAAGCTAAAAAGAAGCAAAAGGAAGGAAATAAAGATAAGAGCGTAAGGCAATGAAATAGAAAACAGGAAAACAACCGAGAAAACCAATGAACTCCAAAGCTCATTCTCTGAAAAGGTCAATACAATTGATAAGCACTTACAACAAAAAAACAGGAGACACAGACTACCAGTATCAGGAATGAAAGGAATTTCGTTACAGACCCAACAGACATGAAGAAAAATAAGGAAACACTATGAGTAACTCTGTGCACGAGATGAAATGGAGTAATTCCTGATAACCTCAAGCTAATGAAACCCACAGTGAAATAGATAACCTGAATAATCATGCAACTGTTAAAGAAATTGGATCCTTGTTTAAAAAGACCTCTGAAAATAAATTTCCTAGCCCAAATGGTTTGAACAGCAAATTATACCAACATTTACAAGAAGAAAGAATGCCATTTCTACAGTATGATTCCATTCATATGATATTCTCCCAAACATAAGACTATACTATCGGGATGAAAAAAGATCAGTGGTTGTCAGAGGTTTTAGGAAGGGGAAGGTATGATTACAAAGGAATGGCACAAGGGAGTATTTTACAGTGATGAATTTGTTGTGTGTCCTGATTATGGTGGTAACAGTTGTGGGGGTGGTTAGATGAGTCTATGCATTTGACTCCATGAATGTGTTTAAATTTGTAAAACTTTACACACATCTAGACATACCATCAATTTCACTGCATATTAATTGAAAAATATAGTAGAAACAAATGATATACCTAGTTGAACTAACTATATACCTAGGTGTGGTAACTATATTACTGTTAGACAAAATAAATATTCTTTAGGATGGAAATGTTCTCTCTGTAGCGATAAATGGTTCCTTCACCCAGGGGACAGACTTGTTCTGTGTACCTTGAAAAACAACAACGCTACAAATTTACAAAGCACAAATTGACAGAACAGCGGGAAGGAATCAACAAATCCACCATCAAGGTAGGAGTCTGATACAAATTTTTAATTATTGGCAGGTTAAGCAACCAAAAAATTAGTAAGCTCTTGAAAATTTGGTCAACATAGAAACAAGTTTGATTTATCAGACACCTTATACCAAGCCATTAGAACAATGTATCTCAAACATTTTTCTTCATGCCTACATAGTTCATGATAATACCTGTATAGCATCCGAGGCTCGTTGAGTCTGGGTTCTGTCCAGACCCCTAAGGTCTGAGTGATTAACCTCTCAGCATACCTATATCCATTTGCAGCACACTGGTTGGGAAGCACTGAATTAGAAACTACACTTCTTACACATACATGGAATATTTATAAAAAATCAACTATGTATTAGAGCAGGGGTTGGCAAGCTCTGGACGTGGGCCATGCCCTTTTGTTTATATATTATCTATGCCCGTTTTGCACTGTTTGAGCTGAGTAGAGACCGAATGGGCCACAAAGCCTAAAGTGTTTACTCTTTGACCCTTTAAAAAAAGTTTTCTGACACCTGTACCAGATGATAGCATGTCTCGAAAGTTTTCAATGTGCTGGAATCAAACACCACATTTCTCCACAATGCAACTGAATTAGAAGTAGATAGAGGATAAACAAATTCTCATTCATTTGGAAAATTGAAAATGACACTTTAAAATAACTCATTGATCAAAGAAGATGTAAAACTGGAAATTAAAACATTTTTAAAACTTACTGATAATTACAGTTATATACATTAAAACTTGTAAGGCCCTGGCCGGTGTGCTCGCTTGGTTAGGCGTCATCCCGTATACCAGAGGTTGCTGGTTTAGTTATCAGTTGGGGTACATGCCTGGATTTCAGGCTCCATCCCCAAGAGGGCATGCAGGAGGCAGCCAATCATTGTTTCTCTCTCTCTCTTGCCCTCTCCCTCCTCTGTCTCTAAAATCAATAAAAACATATTTTTAAAAACTTGTATAAAACAGCACCAGGGGTACTTTGTGGGAATTTAAATACTTGGAAAAGAAAATTAAGTATCTTACTAAAGAAGCTCGGACCATAAACAAGTCTTTTTTCCCCTAAGCATATTATATCTGGGATACTGAATATATTTGTATTGCTATTTCAAAGATATTTATTATAAAGAAAGCAATTAAATTAGGTAGTTGAACATTATTAGTAGATTTTCTGTAAGGAGTCCTTTTGTTCTCAACCTGCTTGAAAGGTTTCACATTTGTACTAATGATAACTTCAAATCTACCTGAAGGATGGTTTAGGAATTTAACTTCTAAAACGGACTTAAATGAAAAGTTTATCATCTGTGTGTCATAGCTTACAGTCATCAGAGTTTAAACTAAAAATTTATTGCATAGATTTGTTTTTAAGTTAAAAAATTTTTTTTGTTACCAAACCTCTTCTTCCAACAAAACCTAACACAGAAGTCCAATCTATAATAACCTATAATAATAAAGTCGTAATATGCTAATTAGACTGGAGGTCCTTCCGGATGTCCTTCCAGATGAAGCTGGGGCTGCGAGGGAAGCCTGGGTCCCGGGTGCCGGAGGGAAGCCGGTGCCGGCAGCCGGGGGAAGGAAGGCCTACTCTTGCATGAAGTTCGTGCATCGGGCCTCTAGTATTGATATAATCAGTAATGCGAGCTCTTTGAGCTGTAATTCTGCTCTCTGAGTGCTTGAACTTCCTTTCCTTCTGTCTTTGGTCTGAGGAGCTTCCTGTGAAATGGGTTCTAGGGCACTAGGGTTGAGAACCATCACTATAATATACCTGTGATGCTACATTATAGTTTTCATTTCATATTTTACATACTTCACGTGCTCTTGGCTGTAATGAACTTTATAGCTCCTGAAGCAGTTGGCACATTTGCGATGTTTTTTACTTGGCTATTTATTACACTATATTTTATATTTTTATTTCTATAGGTACATGCTTTAGCTAAGCTCTCTAACATATTATTTTTATTTAGCTTGTATAATTGCCTTTCCATTGATGACTCAGATGATAGGCCACAGGACTTTGGTCTACAAGCATTCCAGCTTTTATCTGCCGTGAACATCTTAGGAGAAATGTTTGGAGTTGGGGTTCCAATTTTATTTCTCCAAGGATCTGTAAGTATATCTGTGAATCACCTTCATAGTTCTTTTACTCCTATTATACTTTTCTTCAGAGGTTTGCTGCATTATGACTGTAGCTTTGGCTTTAGATGAGTTATTAGAAACTCCGAGAGTCATATTAAGTTCCAGTTAAGGACTACATTCATTACTCTTGACAGAAGCTGTGTGTATCATATCTACTGCTGTTTTCATATTTCAAGCTGATGTTCAGCTCTGAACCTCAGGCTGGAAGCAAGTTTATTACATCGCAGTTGGATAATCCCTAGATTGGTTTTTCTTAGGATAATTTAAAAAAAGTTAACTTTCATTGTGTCAAGGGACAAGTAGAACAAAATTGTATCTTTTGGTGCTCTGGAAAGTAATAAATTCTTTGAGTAAAACTTTAATCTCAGCGATTATTGTACTAGTAAAAGCAGTATTTGGCAGTATATTTTTTTTTTCTTACCTTCTATTCTGTTTCTTATCAGAAGTACTTAGAATTCCAAGGAAGTTTTCTTTTTTTCACTTTACCAATACATAAATAGTCAATTCAGCTACTTTTTTTGATTAATATGTCAATATTATGCTGACAGTTGCAGGTAAACATGAGTAAGTCACGACCTTTGCAATAAAGAGCTTTGTAGTCCTTTTGTTTATATGATTTTATTCCTGATCTAGAAGACGGTAGAGCAAAGCTAAGTATTATATGTTTATATTAGTTGAATAAATCAAAAGTGAGATCAAATTCTTTGCAAATATATATATTTATTAAAAATGTACTTAAAAGTAGAGATTAAAATTCTTACTTTATATATAGAATTAAAATAAGCATTTATTTGTTAAATACCTGAATGTTTCATGTACATATTTTCTGAGTTTTTATTTTGCTTAGAAAGGGACATGTTAGTTAGTCATAAGTACTTTTAATGAAATATGTTAAAAACATGTTAACTTTTTGGGTACTGATGTTTTAGATTCAGAATGGAGTTAAAAATTTACTTTAAGTTACAAGTTAGATTAGAAATTTAATAATAGTGTGCCTAAGGAACTTGGTTTTAGCTGGTATGAGTTCATTTTTTTATAAAAAGAATTTAAGTTGAAAAGGATAGATTAAATATAATTGAGATCTATGAAAATATCTTCTGTCTCTGTCATTTTCAAAACCTGTGTATCCCAGTTGAATTATAATTTATAAAAATTATCCTTGTTATAATTTGGTTTAATCCAGTAGTATCCAGTATCAACAAATAAGTGTAAGTGGGCTCCTAGACAAACTTGTGCTGGTCACAAGAGGGATCAGATTTCACCTATTATTTGAAAACCAAGTCATTCTGCTTATACTGACAGTCTCTTCTGGGAGTCCTCAAATTAAGAAGTTTATTCTTTGTGAAATTTTATATTACCCTTGCTAGGTAAAGGTGTAAAACTTTTAAAAAGTACTACTTAATGAAAATTTGTAGACATTAACTACAGTGAAAATAAGGCAAGTTTTTTTTTCCTTCCATTTCAGTGATCTTGATATCGTTTTAAAATTTATAAATATAATTCTTTTGGGAATTTAGTAAATTATACACCTTAACGAATTTAGACAAAATTAATATATTTGTATGTCATTTTGATCTGTAAGATGATAAATATCTTAAACTCGGAACTCTAGGAATTTATTTAAAGAGATAATATTTGTACGTATTTGCCTTTGAATACAGACAAAATGTAAAAATGTTGAATGACAGGCTCTACCTGTTCCTAAAATTTCAGACTGCATTTTATATTAAAATGTTTTGAAAACACTAACCTCTTGACGTGTTCAAGGACGGAATGTTTTGGAACATGAATACAACCTAAAATACAGTGTTTATATTAGAAAGCTCATAATCACTCAATTTAAACAGAAAGGTACTTATTACTGGGTACCTTTAATTAAATAGCTCATAGAATTGTTGATATGATTTTACTACAAAATAATCCACCACAAGCTGCTGCCTCTTCTGTGATCGAGAAGCGATTTGTCAATTTTAGAAGCTGCCAATACAGCACCTGACCTCACATAGCACTGAACAGGGAGCTGTAACAACCAGAAAGGTTCTACTTCTCTTGCTCTGGGAGCCACCCCAAACCTGCTGTGTGTGATCTGTGTCAACAAAGTGGATGCTTCTTGGTACTTGGAAGCTACCAGTTGTATGCTAGATTCTTGCTAACACTTTCTTGTGAAAAGCAAACAGCTCCACAGTCATGCACCTGCAAAAACAGCAGAGGAGTCACCTAGCCTCACTTTTCTGCTTATAGATGTCACGTAAATGCCTCTGATTAGTGGAACTTAAATTATATTCAGAACCCCAGCTGGAAGGGAGCTTGAGAAATAGTATTTGTAACTTCCCACATTCTGTGGTAGAAGTTGCAGTGGCTGAAGGTTAGAATGACCCTTGAATTACAATCTGCCATGTACACCACACATACATTAAATAGGAGCAGTTTTCCCTAAATCCCCATGTTCATTTACTACTATATACATTTGAAAGTAATATTTAAATGTGTGGGATGAATAAAAGAGGTAGTAAGAGGGCAAAGTAACTGGAAAAGTACTTCATAGAGAGTGAAGGTGGGCGAGGCACCTCCATTGGAGGACATGACAGACTAGGTTCCCCACATTTATAGAACTTGATGGCCAGGAAGAGTCTGCCATTGAAATGCTCTCTTCACTTAGGACAAAATACCTCAAAAGCAGCAACCTACTTTTCCTGAGTGGTATATCTGAGTGGGTGAAGTAAACTGGGCTGTTGCACCGCACACACACTGCCATTAACACCCATACTCGTAGTCTAAGGCTGTAGATTATGATCACTGATTTCACACAATAATGTATGTTCCTAAAGGGTCTAAATATCAAAGGTTAAATATTTCAAACATATTCAAACCTATACATTGGGAAATGCATGTGAATTATGTGTGAAATTGAAATTTCCTGCCATTACTTTTAAGACACAAAAGGAACACTATTTTGATTATATTTTTATTTGTGACTTAAGTATTCAGAGCAAGCAGGATGGATAAAAATTTCATAGATTTTTAAAGCTGAAATTTAGTGTTAAATACAAAGGATCAACAGACAGCTTTGTGTTTTATTTAGCCTGTTTCAGTAAATAAGCATATTTAGAGACTGATTTTTTATTCCTGGTTTCAGAATTCACAGCGTCTTCCAGATAGATATCGCAGACACAAATTATTTGGCAGCGGCAAAGATCAAACAAGGAGTTGGTGGAGAGCTTTTTCCTATCACCTCATGACCGAGGGGTTCTTGGCAGAAGTTTCTGGGCGTAACAAATATGTAAAGATTTGCACCCTTACAGAAAAGGTAAACACTGTGGAAGTCTACCTGTCTGATTAATTTTCCTCACTATGCATTAAGAGATTGTTCTTGCATTTAATAGGGTAGAAATTGGCTTCATAAAGCCAATTCAGGATCATCTCCTCAGCAACTTATCCTTCAAGTTAATGAAGAATTGTGCCCAAGGAAGATTCATCTACCAAGGTTCATTTTTCAGCATTTTTTTTTTTTTTTTACATTTGGGGGTCTGGGTCAGTGGGAGAAATATAAATCATAAAACAATTTTCTTGGTTGATAGGAAGTAGTTGAGGATAGTATTTAGAAAGCTGCTTTCTCATTGATGAAAAAAGCAGCATTGAGGTCAATGTTGAAGAATCCATATACCATATTTCCTGCTGATGTGTACAGGGTGGGAGGGGATACACTTGTTGACTACCTTTTAGTATCTTTACATGTTATCAGTCATTTACCAGGTTTTAAAAATTGAGATATAATTGACATAACATTGGTTAAGTATGAAGTGTACAGTGTGTTGGTTTGATTAATTTATCTATTGCAATATAATTGCCACAGTTGCCTTAGCTGACATCTTTTTTTATAGTCACATAAGTCTTTTTTGTGTTGAGAAAAATTAAGCTCTAGTCTCTTAGCAACTCTGAAGTTATAACATAGTATTTGTTGACTATAATCACTGTGTTGTGCATTAGATTATCAGTTTTTCTTTTAAACTTAAAAAGCTTCTGCTTTAAACTTTAAACTTTAAAGAGCTTAAAACACTCCAGAGCTTTTTCTGGGGGAAAAAATCAATTTTAAAAATCATCAGTTCTAAAAGTAATTTAATCTCATCTGCCTTTCTGAGCATGGAGATACAATGATTAGATAATTACATTCAGGATATTAGATGATTACATTTTAGATAATTACATTTTAACATTCTCGATAATTGAACTTTATTGTTTTCCAGTTCTAAAACTGTGTCTCCAGGCACTGAACAGCATTCCTCTCATCAGGTGCCCACTGACTTAACTGCAGAGAAGAAGGTTTGTTTTTATTAAAGAGGTGGTTCTTATTTATTTCATTTTTTATTTATTTCATTTTCACTTCTATTTTAAAATTTTATATTTTAATTCTCCTCCAATTAAAGAGGAAAATGCCATACATAACAGAACATAAAATTGGGAGAAGTTATATGAACAGAAAAAAATGTGCAGTACATGATTTCTGGGGTTAATAGAAGTATGTGAGAAAGTAACACTTTGATTCTTGTAAACCTATTTTATAACTCCTTTGTCTTGAAGTTTTGTGTGTGTGTTTACATATTATGATACTAGGATAGCAGATAGAAAAATAAGCCTGGTTTCTGAATAATCTGATTAAAGTCACACACATACAACATTCTTGCTTTGTTTTTGGATCTTAGATAACTATTACAGATTAAATAGCCAGAGGCAGACTTCAGCTAATTAGAACACGGGGGTAATAGAAAAATCTGCTGATTTAAATTTTTTGGTGAGCTTTTTCTGCTTTATCGAAGTAATGCAGAATGTAATCGAATCATTTTTGTAACTTGGGCTCTTGCTATGTCTCAAAGAATCCTTTTGAGCATATATTTTCTATAGATTTGGGAGGAATGGGACATTATGTTGCATTTCTAAGTGCTTTTAGAACCCTGAAAGTTAGTAATCAAGAACTTAATTTATTTGATAATTTGGTTAGTCAGAGGAAGAATTGTCATTGTAAGATGTTGTTTCTTATTTTCTTCATATTTAAAAGTTTTTTGAAATTTCTAATTTTTAAAAATGGAATTTTTTATATTTAAAATCAGTCTAACTTGAAGAAGATGTATTCCTACAAAGCACTTGATAAAATTTCTTCTGGGAGTAACATTCCTACAAAAAGGTACAGTTCAAAATTTTTATTTTCTATATTTACTTTATCAGCACTTTCTCTCTGTCCTAAAGAGAAAGGCCTAGCGGACATGTGGCCATTTCATTGGCAAAAGAAAGTTAAAGCATAAGTCTCCAGTGTTATAATTTTTAAACAGACCTATAAAATGATACTGATAATTTTATTATAATAGCTAATACTTGTGGGTATTATTGTTTGCCATACTCTATGCTAAGTGTTAAGCATTTTATATGTAACTAGAAGCCTGTTGCATGAAGATTCGTGCAATAGGCCTTCCTTCCCCTGGCTGCTGGCACTGGTTTTCCTCCAGCACCCGGGACCCAGGCCTTTGGTCCAACCGCAGCAGAGAAGCCAAGCCTCTTCAGTCTATCTTCAGTCTAGCCTGTTGCATGAAGATTCGTGCAATAGGCCTTCCTTCCCCTGGCTGCTGGCACTGGTTTTCCTCCAGCACCCGGGACCCAGGCCTTTGGTCCAACCGCAGCAGAGAAGCCAAGCCTCTTCAGTCTTCAGTCTTCAGTCTTCACTCCGGCCGGAGCCTTCAGTCTTTGCTCTACGCCTGCATATGCAAATTAACCACCATCTTTGTTGGGTTAATTTGCATAGTCGCTCTGATGGGCTGGTGGGTGTAGCAGAGTGACACCAATTTGCATGTTACTCTTTTATTAGTGTAGATAACATCAAATTCTTTTTTTAATTGAAATTCTTTGTTGTTTAAAGTATTACATATGTCTCTCTTTTCCCTCATTGAACATTGAATTCTTAAAACAACCTATGATGTAGCTACTATTATATATCTTCATTTTATAGTTGAAGATACCAATGGTTAAGCATACAGTTAATGGCAAAGCTGACTTGCAGACCTGTATTTGTCCATCTCTAGCATCTAAACCCTAATTACTTACATTTGTATGAAATATATATTTTCACCTAAACATTAATTAATTGTTTTTGTATGAAATAGATATTCTCACTCACATTTAAAAAAAAGTCTTTATGGTAACATAAAATGGTAGGTATTAGAGTTGGTAGAAGATAAAGGCAATGTACTATAGGTGTGGGCAAAAGTAGGTTTACAGTTGCTTGTATGGAAAATAATACAATAATTAATAAACAATGCAAGAATAAACTGCTTTGCATACTCACAACTGTCAACCTACTTTTGCACACCCCTGTATTGTACTTTCAAGTTTAATATTTGACTTTCTGACTTAATAAAAGTGTGGAGAAAGTACAGAATTACAGAAGGTCTTAAGATGGAGCATTTGAAAAACTTGTTAGGACTTAATTGCAAATTAAATGGACTATCCTATATAATAAAAGGCTAAAATGCAAATTGAACAGCAGAACGACTGGTCACTATGACGTGCACTGACCACCAGGGGGCAGATGCTCAATGCAACTGCTGCCCCCTGGTGGTCAGTGCACTCCCACAGGGGGAGTGCCACTCAGCCAGAAGCCGGGCTAACAGCTGGTGAGCGCAGCGGCAGTGGTGGGAGCCTCTCCTGCCTCTGCGCTGAGGATGCCTGGGGAGCAGGCCTAAGTTGTCATCTGGACATCCCCTGAGGGCTCCTGGACTGTGAGAGGCATAGGCTGGGCTGAGGCCCCCCCCCCCCCCCGCCAAGTGCGCAAATTTCATGAACTGGGCCTCTAGCGTTTACATACATATTGGATGAAAGAAAATTAATGTGCTTTAATCTCATTTTCTAATGATTTGCTCACTTAGATACTACTACTTTGGATTTGACATAAACATTTACCATATACCAGTGTCCCGCCCCAAACAGTTTAGTTTTTTGGGATATGTAGTATGTGATTGTTATGTTTTATGTAAAAAAAAGGTTTAAGGAGTGTACAAAACAGTATATTCACTCAACATGCTGAAGCATTTCTTCATCTAAACATTTACTGTGTTTTTACTACTGTAGGCACTGGGATTCAGTGGGGAATACTGGAGAAATAACAGAGACTAGTTTATACTCTAGTGCAGTGGTTCTCAACCTTGACTGCACATTAGAATCACCTGGGTCTTTATAAAATCCTGATTTCTGGGCCTCATCCTCCGGAAATTCTGTTTCTTTATTATGGGGTGAGGCCACAACATTAGTAACAAAGAAACAGAATTTCCAGAGGATGCGGCCCAGAAATCAGGATTTAAAAAAGATTCCCAGGTGATTCTAATGTGCAGCCAAGGTTGAGAACCACTGCTCTAGTGGGATGTGCAGGTAAGGGAGCATAAACATCCAGGGTCATAACACTTTGGAAACACATTTTGGAAATTACATTTGAGGCTTAAGTTTAAGTCAGTCCAGTGTAGTGAGGGGAAGTTTTCTAAGCAGAGGAATGGCTCACATACTAAAACCGAAAATGAGAGCATATGACATGATTGAAGAACTCAACAGAACGCTAGCAATGACCTGGTAGAGGGAAACAAAGGGGTGGTAAAATGTCAGGGTGGAGAATTAAAGCGGATCCAGGATATGCAGTTCCTTTGAAGCACTCTGGTTGATCATGAAGGCAGTTTGGAGCTAAGGAAAGGTTTTAAGTAAAACAGTGACATAATCAAATGTATGGTTGAGAACAGGGCTGACAAACATTTTCTGTAAAGGGTCAGATAGTAAATATTTTAGGCTTTGAGAGCCATGTGCTATCTGTCTCAATATACTCAACTTCACCATTATGGCCTCACAGCTGCCATAGATGATAGTAAAATGAATGAGCGTGGCTGTGTTCCAATAAAACTTTATTTGTGGACACTGAAATTTGAATTTCATATCATTTTCACATGTCACAGAATGTTCTTTTGATTTTTTTTTAACCATTTAAAAATGTAAAAGACCATTTTTAGCTGACAAGCTTTACCAGCACAGACGGATTTGGCCTGTGCACCCCAGAGAGCAGATCCTTGACAGATGACTGGAGTGGAGGGGATGGATTTCAGCAGGATCAGGGTGGTAGACAAACAGGTAAAGTGGCTATGCAGCAACCTTTGCAAGAGATGGTGGTATTTTAGATGAGGGAAGTGGCAGTGGATGTGGAGAGAAATAGATTTGTAAGATAGGTAGGAGACAGAATTGTTAGAGCTCAGTGATTGAAAAGATAGGTGGGTTAAGGAAAACGGAGGATTTGAACATAACCCTTAAGTTTCTGTCTTTGCAGGTGCAAATGTTGTCATTTCTTTCCCTGGGCAATAAGAGGAACACAGTGTTGAAGGGCTGAAAGTTTAGGAAGTGAGGTTAAAATTAGAGTTTCGTGATAGACACACTGAGTTTGAGGTACCTGTTGAGTGGTCCAGAAATTAATTTTAATATATGAGATTGGTTTACGGAAGTGAGAAAGATGCTACCTATTAATAACTATTATTTTAAAGTTCATTTGCATTTTCATTAAAATAATACATGCAGCCCTACCTGGTTTGGCTCAGTGGATAAAGGGTTGGCCTGTGGGCTTAAGGGTCTCAGGTTCAATTCCAGTCAAGGGCTCGTACCTTGGTTAAAGGATCAGTCCCCTGCCTGGGTCAGGGAGAGTGTGGGAGGCCACTGATCGATGTGTCTCTCTTACATCATTGTTTCTCTCTCTGTCTCTCTCCCTCCCTTCCACTCTCTGAAAATCATTGGAGAAAATATCCTCAGGTGAAGATTAACAACAACAACAAAACATGTGCATGGTTTTTAAAGTCAGTTGATACCTAAAGACCTAACAGTGTATACCAGTTCACACCCTTGCCAAACCCACTTGGTTTTGTTCTATGGAAGCAGTCCCCCTCAAATGTTCCAGCTGGTTTTTCTGGTACTTGCCACCATTTATCTAAGTGACATGCTTAGATTACTGTTTTTTGACTTAACAGTTTTAGAAATTTTCTGTTGACATCCTATAATGGTAGATTAGGGCTTATCTCCCCCTTCCCTTCTTTCACCTCCTTCAGTCCCCCCTCCTCTCCAACATAATTATATTTCAAGTTTTGGTCACATTAATAATTTGTTTTTACATTGTTAAATCTATTCAAATATTATATACTATTAAAGCCAAACTGTTATTATGGCCACCACTAACTTAATTTTCTTTGATGATAATAATTGTCTTTGTTTTTGCTTGTTTTGCTTTGTTTACTAATTTTGCTTTTCTCCCTTTTTTCAAACTCTTTTTGTTTGTTTACTCTCTTTGGAGAGTTCTTTGACTTTATATCCCCTCCCATCTAATGAATTATTATATATATATATATATTTTTCAGTGTCCTGGTGCCCAGATTCGTGCACATTGAAAGGAAAATAATTAGAAGAAATATTTTAATATTGCTATTTGCCCTTTCTCTGTAATGTAAGTGTCAGAGCCACTGCTGGTTGCTGTCTGCGGAGTGATCAGCGGTGTGATTGAGCCCCTGCCCGGCTCCCTTAGCTCCTGGGAGCCGGGAGGTGGCCCCATCCCCCACTGCTGCTGCCACTGGTTGCCCTCTGCTGGGCAATCGCACTGGTCGCTGTCTGCTGGGCGATTGGGGTCACCGCTTACACCCACCTTGACCTGGCATCATCCACTCACCTGCTCCACAATCCCGCCGTGGTCCCACTCTCGTCGGGGTCCGGCAGTGCCTCCACTGCCGTCCGCTGCGTCGCTGATGCCCTCCATGGTCCGCGCTGCCCCCTGGTGGTCAGCGCACATCATAGCGAGTGGTCAAACTCCCAATCTCCCAGTCAACAATTTGTATATTAGGCTTTTATTATAAAGGATATATAATAATATATATATTATTGACAGTATTACAGATATTCCCCATTCCTTCCCCCTTTGCCCCTCTCTGCCCAACCCCTACCCCACATCATGCCTTCACCACACTATTGCACTATTGTCTGTGTCAATGGGCTGTGTATGTAAGTATTATAGTTATCACATATTTAGCTTTTATGAGCTATTTCTTGCTCTCTTCTTTCTTTAATAGCAATCTTTTTTTGTTTCATGGATACAGTATCTCCACTTACTTCTTTGATGATACTCATTATAGTTATTTTGAACCTTTCTCCTTTGTACTTGTAATAATATTCATAGGCAAAATGTTTTTCATTTAACATTTTCCATGTGTATTTCTGCTTCAGGAACATGTTACCCAGAATTTTGCTAGTATATATGATAATAAAATTTATTTGTGAAATAACTTAAAATACCATTTTGCAATAGTACATTATTATAAAGATTCCCATAAATGATAAGATGATGGTTAATATAATTATATTATTTAAAACACATTTATAATTTTCTTGAGTAACCTGATATTACTGATTTTTTTGCACTGTAGTTATTTTTCTTTGGGTTCAAATCTATTTAATTTCAGTGATAGAATTTGATCATTGTAAAAATGAAATCTTCCTTTACATGCAAATTTTGAATTCTTGATATCGAGAAATTTATAATTCTTAAATAGCAAACATGTTCTTCCTTTTCTCCCCAAAAGCAGGAATTTATTTAAATTTGGTGTCTTTCATTTAAGATATTCTACACAGTTTCATTTTTATAACTTTTCCTCTTTATAATTAATAAATGAGATGTGCTTATAGATATTGATTTTCTATCTAGTTTGCTGCCTAGTACCTTTCATACCATGTTGTTTGCTAATTGGATGTTATTTATCCTTTTTTAGGAGTCAAAAGCAAAATTACTTTTGGCTTAGTTTTGTTTTCTTTTGAAGAATATTGTGAATAATTTCATTAATCTCATGCTGATGTTCCCCACTATCTAAAGATTAGTAGTATCATAGCAAATAATCATAGATTGTATCCCTCTTGGCTGAAAAACAAAAAAAATGTTATCTTCTATATAGGGAAGGAGTATTTTCTTTCAAAGTATGTGGTTGAGAAGGAAGATGTGGCAAATGCTTAATTAATTAAGTACACCAATTTTGTGATGAACTCATATTACAGTTTTAACTTTACCATTGTAATGAATGTATTTGACCCCAGATGTTTAAAATCTTAGCTGCCATATAAGTAACAATGCCCTACTGGTATCGGGAAGAATACAAGTTAGCATAAGACTTGGAAATATACTTAATAGTCTCATTTTGGGGTGAAATAAAAAATGAACATGGAGAAAGAAGAGTTTTTATTATTTATTTTCTTTTAAATATTTTAGCATCACGGTACCATCACCAGGAAAATCTTACAAGTCTTCAGAACCTGTTATTTCGGCTCAAGAGCAGGAGACTCAGGTATGACTTTCGTAAAAAGGCAGGTGGTTTTTGAGAGGATGGTCAGGATTCTATGCATGCTTGAAATTCTGTGGCCAGTATTTTAAAAAATTATTCTTAGTTAAGAGTCTGAGATAGAGTTCAGTTTTGTGTTTTTTTTTTCATCCTCAGGGAAAATTTAATACCGGAAGCTCTTAAAATGAAGGACTAGATTTTTCTAAGTATATTTTTTTAGATATTGAGTTGTTTCTTTGTTCTTTGTTTAGACTGTATTATATGGCAAATTGCTAGAAGCTAGGCAGAAACTTGCCAATAACTTGGATATTCCTCCAGCTATCCTGGCAACAAATAAGATACTGTTGGATATGGCCAAAATGAGGTAAACTATTTATTTGTTTATGTTCTAAATAATCACAGACCACCTTGCAATATTCAGTGAAAATATTTGATATCATTAGATTGGCATATTTTTAGAAAGGAGACATTATACAGTCTCTTGGATATTGGATAAGAAATATTGAGATAAAAGACTAAAGTAGTTTGGTTTATTGTTACAGGTAAACACTTTATAAGTACTGCATGAAATTTTCTGAGTTTCTTAGCCTCCTAGTTGTCTTCAGTTAGTACCTCATAGTTTTTCTTTTCATATCTATAAAAATAGTAATAATGATAAGATCAGTAATGGAGTAGAACAATATGATAATAGCCTATTTACCAATTAGTACTGTGTTTTTGTGGTAATGGTGGTGCTGGAGTTTTTATTCATAAATTACTAAAACAGCTAAATATCAGCTATGTTGCTAGAATATAATGTTTCAGTGATTTATTGACTTAAATTTTTTTAAATGACAGACCTACTACAGTTGAAAATGTGAAAAGGATCAATGGAGTTTCTGAAGGCAAAGCTACTATGTTGGCCCCTCTATTGGAAGTCATCAAACAGTTCTGTCAAATAAATAGTGTTCAGGTAAAATACTGTGGTGTAAGGAGTTCTGAAGGAATAAATATTTTTGACAATTTCAAAAAACACCCTTCAAATGCAACATTTTCTCCCTTTATTTTCATTTCCACACCAGATACGTAGAAAATGAGTTCAGATTGTTTCTACAGTAAATCAGTTAATAAGAACATGTTAGTTACCTGATTTTTAAGATGATACTGAAGTAGTTGTCCAGGCTATTTATGTTTTTCTATTTTGTTGGGAGATATTTTTTTAAAATTTGAGTAAGTACTGTGTTTTAGGTTGATAAATTATTTACCTTCAAGTATAGATAGAAATTAAAGCTGTAAAGTTATCCTTGTTATCAGTGGGTAAGGGGTTCAGCCACTTTGTTTTTCTTTCTTTTTAAAAATTATTTTATTTTATTTTATTTTATTTTATTTTATTTTTCCATCACTATGCCCTCTTTCACTTCCACTCATTCCCCTCCCCCGCCCCCCCCCTTGTCCATGTCCGTGAGTTCTCTCTCTTTCTCTCTTTTTTTTTTTTTCTTTTTTTGCTCAGTCCCTCCACACACCTTCTTCCAGTCTGTCTGCTTTCTATCTATGAGTCTGTCTGTATTTTGCTTGGTAGTTCAGTTTGTTTATTAATTTCCACATATGAGTGAAGTCATATGGTACTTGTCTTTCTATGACTATTTTTCTTATTGTTTGTTGTATCCCTAATTACCCTCCCCTGCCAGTCATGCTGTCTTTTGAAACTAAGTAGGTTTCATGGTATTTTGTCCATCGTAATAGCACTTTCTTTGTATCCTTTTATTTCTTCTTACTCCACCACGAATGACCATTTTCACAGGCTTGTTTGGGTTTCTTCTTAAACTCCACATGCGACTCTAGTGACTGGATCGCACTGTAGAAATAATTCTGTAACTATAAGCAGAAACTCTTCTGCTTTTTGTATGTAACTTATCCCTCTTTTAATATAGTATATATTTGGTAACTTTAAATTTTCTTTTAATATCCTATATAATAAAAGCATAGTATGCAGATTGTCCCCTCAACCGAGAGTTCATCTGGGAGTTCGACCAGGCGGTGGGGCCAGCCGGGAAGGGAGGGTGGCCCCTGCCGACGGCGGTGGCAGGTGGCCAGGGGGAGGGAGGGAGTACCTGGCTGGCAGCCGGCAGGTGCAAGGGACCCTAGCAGTGCATGAATTTTGTGCACTGGGCCTCTAGTGCTTATGTAAGACATCCCGTGAAAATGCCTTATATTTCATATTGGATATTTTTTTTTAACAATTTGATAAAAAGAGATTATACCAGTAGTAATTGAATACATTTTTTTTTTTCTCTTTGGACACTTGATGGTAGGATCTTCTTCATGAATTAGTGGTTTGATTTAATAATGAGAGAATTATCCTCCTCAGACCCTCCTCAAGAGTAAATTGAAATAGGGTAAAAATATCAACGCTCCAAAGGATAGGTATGGAACTTTTGAACCTTCTGGATAGAGAAAATGACTGTTAATTTCTGGTGGTTAGGAATTATGCCTGCATTGTTGTACACATTTAAACCATTTCCTGAAGAAATAAATTAATAAACTTTAGTGCTTATTAAGCCAGCTTTGTTATTCATCACTTTAACATATTTACTTAAAATTTTGAAGCAAAACTTAAGTATTGTCATAATACAAGTCAAAAGTTATAAATATGAGGACATGGATTAAACCCATTAAGATGGCCATTTAAGAAAAAGAAGTTAAAATCACTTTGTAGAAATACATTTTATGAGAATTATAATGCTTTAAAAATGTCTAGTTCCTCCAAAGATGAATTCATAGTTGGCAGCTACTTAAAAAATCCTAAAAAGAGACAACTATTTTTTTAACTATACATAAAAAGTAGATAGAAACCGCATACTATAATCATAATGATACCTGTAACAAACTAATTTAAAAAGTTAAAGATCCTAGTCCCTTGTTGAATAATGTTGGAATCATTTTGATAAGGTTATTTATCTTTGTGGTTCATTATATTACCTATAGATACATGAAGAAATATATTTATGAGCTTTTATTTGCGAAAGAAATGTAATTTTTGTATCCATATCCTATCATTTAGGAATTTTAATTAAAAATTATAGTAGTTGAATATTGGTTTACTCCTTGGTGAAAAATAGAAATGTTTCTGTTTGATTTTTTCATCTATATTACATCATCATATACATGGTGCCTAATTTTAGAATTTGAATTTTCTGACCTAAGGCAAAAAATATGTGTTTTCCAAATCTTTTTGGCATTTTACTTTGCATACTTCAGAAGAATATCAGGGCTGTATTCTCACATTAACACAAAGGATAATTCCAATCAAATAACCCTAGTGGTAGACATTTGGTGTTCTGAACATACAGTACACCTAAATAAAACAGGCAGGTGTTACATATTTCTGTTTCTATTTTAAAGCTTCAGAATAGCTGTGTATTGCAGATTTTAGAAAACATGTGTCAAGACAGATTACATATTTTCTGGGGAAGCCTAGCTGGCTGCCCACACTGTGGCATTTGCCATGGTCTAGGCTAGGGTTTCAGTCCTCATTCATGCAATCTTTAAAGTCTGATGTCTTGTCACAAAATAGTTATGTTTTGGGGAGTAGATTTGCATTATTCTTCTCTGTGAACCTGGTTTTATGTGTGTGTATGTGTATATATAAATATAAGTATATATATTAGAATGCAAATTCATTGATTTATAGTGAGAAATACAACTGGAAAGTTTCACTTGACCCAACAAGTGTGTTCTCTCCTTTAGAGACTGGCTTATCTGAAGTTGTTTAGCGAGCCTGGAATCGAACAAGGGAAACCCTGAGAGTGTCTTAAATAGGCTCTCAGCAGCAAAAGCAGGATGAGGCATTCTTACACACTACTTGCCAAAGGAACTTTAATATTCAAATCTAGTTGGCCAAGGCTGCTTCTCATCTGAACAGCGCTTGGATAGGCATTGCGTACTTTTGTTTTTCTGCCTTTCCTACTTATGTTTTCATAATTGATTGTTCTCTGTTCACATAGTCTTTTATCTACATAGAGCATGATTTGATTAGATATTTTGCTTACTAGAATCACATTCTAGCCCTATCTTCTTGAGATTATTACTCTCGTATTAATTTGCTGATGTTCCCAAACACTTTTAGTCACACATTTACAGATGGTGGCATGATTTTGTTTCATTTATCTTAACATCTTTATGTATTTGCCAGTATAACGCCCAGTGATCACATTTCTAAGACCTTGGTATAGGAGTATCCCATGGTTGCCTGCAGGTATAGTTTACACTGTAATCCTGAAGAATCTGGCTAATGGAGTTTGATTTTAGTCATTCCTAGAAACTTAAGGCCAATTCTGACCGTGTTAAGGTCTCAGATGGAAACACTTTAATTTCATTTAATAAAATGTCTAATGTGTTCTTTGAAAGCCTAGCGGTGCCTGGAAACAACCTGGAGACCTTAGGTCTTCGGTGTTGTCTGGCTTCTCTGTTCGCCAAGCTGCAGTTGTCCCAGGTGTCTGTGAACTAATCTGCAGACTCCCTTTTTGTTTAGGATAGCAAGGGACTAGTGTGGGTTACAGTAAGCCAAGTTCTGTTGGATTTAATTATTTTAATCTAGTATTGGTTCTTACGTTTTGGAAGGTAAAGTTGGCATTTTGGAGGAAAACTATTGTTATATCGATGTGAATCCTATATCATATACTAATTCTATCATAACTATTACTTGGCCTTTACTTTCTTCAGGCTTTAAAAAAATCCTAGTATTTCTTCATTAATTTTATTTTTTAACCCTTTCTCCCTTTTTTCTTTTAAATGTCTCAATGAATCATATTTAAGAATTTACATAATGCTTCAAGAGCCACAGTTTGTATGTATTTTTCTTAACTAAATGTACTGTATGTAGTTAATGAGAAATTTTCTTTAAGATATGTTAGCAGAATTTGTGGATATAGTTCCTACATTTGAATATTAATTATTTTTATTTATTCATTTAACATTCACTTCTAGGGGGCTTGGGGACTTAATATTTAAAGGCAGAATGGTCTACATTATAGTTCATTTTTTCTTTCCTCTTATTGGCTAAAGGAAAGACTAGGGATTTCTAGTTCTACAGCCACATTTATTATTACAAACATTTGATTCCTTCTAGCTTTATTTTTCCTTTTAAAATTAATATGTAAAAAGTAACACCAAACACCTTTTTCGAGCTCCTCATAAAAAGGGAATTTTTTCCTCTTCCTTGGAGGTTTTATTTGTGTTATTTTTACCCCCTAAGGCCTACTGATCATATTGATATCCTTTCTATCATTATGTTGATATTATTATTCACCATTTGTGCTACTTTTAAACTTTTGTAGACAGATCTCTTTTCAAGTACAAATCCTCAAGAAGAACAGAAGAAAAGCCTGGTGGCAAAAGACAAAGAATGCTCCCTCCCACCGTCTACGGCCATCACGTATTCTTTATTCCAAGAAAAGAAGATGTCTTTGGTAAGTGTTACATTCATATTAGAGGGAATTTTTTAATTTATCTAAACATGTTTTATCAACTTTTCAGTATTAAAGTTGTGACTTGGGGTACATTTCTTCTAATCCTATAATATTTTACATTGTTTCATTGTGTATTTAATTTTAGAATAGAATGTCATCTTCTTTTTGCTAAGCCTACTTCTGTCAATTGAGTAAAAACAGCAAGTATAGGTTGACCATGATTATCTTATAGAGATTTTATCCGAGGTACTGATAAACACATTTATAGCTCAGGGATATTAGAGCAGCCATATTGTAAGACTGTTTTTTTAAAAATTGGATTAATAGTTTAGAAACTATCAGCATATGTATTGATAAGAAATAACCTCCAAGACACATTAAGTTAAAAAAAAAAAGGAATATGCAGAGCAATGTGAAAAACAAACATATAAATATGTACGTACTTGTATATTCACCAAACTTGCTGTTCACTCTATATCCTTTAGTTCTGTTCTATTTTTTAACCATGCTTGATGCTCTGAAAAAAAATCTGTGAAAAATAGCCACGTTTAATGTTTCTTCACTGTTCTGTCATAAATCCTTAAGACTGTTGAGTATTTTTTAAATATATGGTGTGGGAAAAGTAGGCTTATGGTTGTGAGTATATGAAACGGTTTAGTTTTGTATTATTATATATTAATTATTGTATTATTTTCCATATGAGTAACTATAAACCTACTTTTGCCTCATTCTGTACAAAATAGAGAGTTTATCTTAGTGGAATAAAGATAGAATGAGGCTTCCAGCTAAGTTTTACTAATTTGAATTCCTATTCTCTCTGACCATAAATTGATTAGTCCAATGCCTGGTTTTTCTCTTCTGTGTCTTCATCCACTAGGCCACATTACACACTTTTTATACTGGTTAAGGTCTAATAGAAATGAGAATAAATAATTCATAGCTTGTCTTAATTACTTAATAGATGTTCTAATTTGATAGTCAGATTCCTTAATTAAAAGTACAGAATCCATTCCACAGGAAACCAAATAATTCCAGTGTACTATTTTTGAAACAAATTACATGATAAATAGGAATTAAAGTTCTGTCTCTTAAGTAGTAACTTAAATGTACATGTTAAATATACTTATATTGCATAATTTGACCATATATGCGTGGTATAACTGAATATAATTTCTAAGAAAATTTAGTATAGCCTTCAAATTTTCTGAATAAAGTGCATGCTAATACTCATCCATGATATGAGGTTTTATGTATTATATTACATAGTCATGGTTAAAAATGTGAAGAGTTGCGTATCTTCATTTATGTCTTTTGCTGTTATTTGGTTGTATATTATTGTGTAATATCATGGTGTAATTATCTCTACCTCCCAGGAGTCTGCGACGGTCTTGCCAGTTAACTACAAAATTAAACATGCCTGAGGACTAATTAATCAGGAGCAATAATGCAATTAGTTTTAGGTAATTTGATGCCTGGTATCAAGTAACCCTGATATGCACACATGGTATACATTGTCTAGTAGAAAAGGGTAGACATTTAATCAAAGTTATTTAAAACCTACCTTTGAAGGATGAAATTATTGCTTTAAAGGCTCTTTTCTATGAAGTGTCAACATTTACACAAATCCAATCCAAATTCAGACTTTCGGGTTGTATTAAAAGAGAGTATTACGAATTAATTTAGAGCCGAGTGACTAAACTCTTGGAGTGTTTAAAAGAATATTATATCTCATACATAATCTTAAATGAATTTGGAGCTACAGTTGTATAAAAGCTACAGAAATATGTAACAGTATCCTCAATTTTAACACAATTGTTTAATTCAATTCTAGGCACATGATATATTATTTCAAGTATATAGAACATTGGATTACAGTTGACTATATTTTCAAAGGTTGTGGCAGCTTTTAGACTTAACATAGTACTCTCTGCCACTAATAGGTTTTAAAGTGAATAATTGCGGAGAGATGAGGATTGATTTCTTAGCTAATGCTGGATGATTATGTTGTATTCAGTATAATAATTGTAAAAAGTAGAATCTTGGAGTTCTCTAATGTAGGTAGTTTTAAAGAAATTGACTTTTATAAAGTGAAGGTTGAGTACATTGTTTATTTCTCAGTGAACATTTATTACCCGAAGGTTTTGGACATTTTGTTTTCATACAGTACAGGGGAAACTTTAAAAAAACTGACTGGTTGTTTTGCTGCTGTTTCTCTAGAAGAGTGTAGCTGAGAACAGGATTCTGCCTCTCGCAGCAGTTGGCATACACTTATCCCAAGCGGTGAAAGCTGGCTACCCAGTCGATATGGAGCGAGCAGGCCTGACTCCAGAGGTTCAGAAGATTATTACTGATGTTATCCGAAACCCTCCCATCAACTCAGGTGATCACCACCACCCTGGTCTGCAGCCTTAATGACTTGAGTCATTGAACCCAGATGAAGTAAACAAGCAATCCACTAATATTTTTCAGTTTAGCATCAACTCTTCATGCTACTATGAAAACTTTACTTTTGTAAGGTTTTTTATTGTGTTAGAAAAACAGTCTTTCTTCCCATTATCACTCAGGGGAAAGCCTCAGTCAGAGAAATTCATGTTTTTCTTTTCAGCTTCAGATGACAACTTACACACCAATCCTGAAACAGAGCACTTTAATTCTTTCCTGATTTCTACCTCTTCACTTGGGGGAAAATACCCAGTTTTTTCTATATTCATTCCCCAAAACTTACTCCTAGTTTTTCCCTAAATCTTTCTGCTTCCTTGTCATTGGTTTCACTTAAGCAGCCGTTCTAATCATTACAGTCAGTGGGACTTCACTGTGACCTTGAAGGGATGGGCCAAGGTCGCTAGGCCTTTGTAGGAGGGTTTCCTCTTCTCACTTTGCTGCAGAACCTCAACTGTGCTCGCTTTGCTTGCCCTGCAGACATTTTTAAATAGAATGAGGTACATTAGAGGATTTCCCCTCCTAAATGTACAAATATAAACTGGTGTGTTAATAACTCAATAAATCTGATAAATTTATTCAGACTGTTAGGACAGAGCAGTGGGCATATGGCTGCAGTGCAAATAATTTTTTATTATCTCAAATTCTTTCCCACTTGGGAATAACTATACAATCCCTTCCCACCCCAACATTTGGAAAAGAGAGGAGTAAGATCATCCTTTAAAAGCAAGTCAGTTGATCAGAACAACTACATTCAAGTCCCCTTAGAAGGCAGTATTAATTCTAGGCTGAGCAAGACTTGACTGAAGGTCTAAGAAAGAACACCTCCATCCCTTCTATCGGTCAACCATGGAAGCATAGGGGAAGGAGAGACACAGGCAAGTTTGGGCAGTGTCATCTAAGTAGAATCCAGGGAACTAAAGTTTTTCTTTTTTATTATATCATACTAAACGTGTGCTGCCAACTATTTAGAAGAAAAAATACACAATTTCTAATCCTGGCAATGAGACTTCAAGTGTATTAAGTAAGGGCCCTTCTCTCAGGACTCAGAGAAATGAGTGTCTTTGATGAGCTGTTGGAATAGGCAGGTTTTTCCTGTTGACAATCCTGTTTGTGAATGTTTAGCCGCCTTCCTTAAATCCTGAAGACGGATGGTGTTAGCCTAGTTCAGTGGTTCTCAACCTTGGCTGCACATTAGAATCACCTGGGAATCTTTTTAAAATCCTGATTTCTGGGCCTCATCCTCCAGAAATTCTGTTTTTTTGTTATGGGGTGAAGCCACAACATTAGTAACAAAGAAACAGAATTTCCGGAGGATGAGGCCCAGAAATCAGGATTTAAAAAAGATTCCCAGGTGATTCTAATGTGCAGCCAAGGTTGAGAACCACTGGCCTAGTTAGTAAGAGCAAAGGAGCTATGGTACTTTGGGCAAATTACCCAATCTCCCCAAGCCTCAGTTTCCTCCTCTCTTCAACAGGGAGGGAGAATATGCCTTTGTTACAGAGTTGTGAGAAATAATTAGATACTACGCAGAATGCTTTGGCACTTGGTAAGTAGTTAGCCCTCTGGATCCTCAGGTTTACACCCATGGATTCAACTAACTGTGGATCGAAAATATTTGGAAAAAAAAATTCCAGAAAGTTGATCCCTAAACAACACGGTATACTAACTATTTACATAGCATTTACATTGTATTAGGTATTATAAGCAGTAATGGGGAATATCATGATGAGGAAGTAGATGGCAAGATATGGTGGCTTCTTAAATATACCCTTTGTAATTACTTTAATACTCTATTATTTTAGAAGCTAATTTAAAAAATATGAAGTTAATAGGTATACCAGAAGGGAAGTTTCAAAACTATGGACGGGAAAATGGAAGATTTAAGATTATTATTCAGTCAAGTATTGGCAACATCTACTTTATTTGGCTATGGAGAAGAATAGAGGGGGATGCTAATTTGCTTTCTAAATCATATAGTTGTAAAGTTGTTGAATTTTTTATTTGGAAAGGAAATTGGAAATCATTATATTTTCATTTTCCTACTGGCATCCTGTTTCAGAGATAGGAATTTGAGGCCTAGAGGATTGTAAATTGTTTTAAATTCACGTCAAGGTTAATGACAGAGCAAGCTTTCATTTTTACTAGATCATGTCAAAGTTGTGCTGCCAACTCTTTAAAAGAAAGAAATATGCAGTTTTTTAATCCTGATAGAGGATTTGGGTTTATAATCCTCTAGTTGATGAGTAAAATAAATATACTTAATTATATATGGTTTACTATATTTATATAACTAGTATCTTTATTTATTTTTTTAAAAATATATTTTATTGATTTTTTACAGAGAGGAAGGGAGAGGGATAGAGAGTTAGAAACATCAACGAGAGAGAAACATCGATCAGCTGCCTCCTGCACCCCCCACCCACTGGGGATGTGCCGGCATCCAAGGCACATGCCCTTGACCGGAATTGAACCTGGGACCCTTCAGTCTGCAGGATGATGCTATCCACTGAGCCAAACCAGTTAGGGCTATACCTAGTATCTTTAAATATCTTCTATCTAGTACCCTCTACATTCTGAGTTTAAAAATTTTAATTTGCTTATGTTATCACTTTTAAAATTAAGAAATACTAAAATCCAGCAGATATTTAAACATGGAAAATTCTCTATAATTGCACAACCTGATTCAACAAATATTAGGGATATGAGAAAAACATTTGTAATCATTAGTGACTATAACAGTAGTTAAGACATTTGTCTTTACTATTTTATACTTATTGCAAATAAATTTTCATTCAGATAAATATTAAATTGAAATTCCAAAGACCAATGTAGAATACTTTTGAACACGTTTCATTTTTCTGTCAATATACCATATGTAGGTTGTACATATAATATGAAAAAGTATATTATTGTAGTTTACTGCCAAAGCCAAAGTTGAGATTGCAAGAACCATGAGCTCTAAATTTTATTTCCTTTGATTGTACTTTTATAGCCTGTAAGATACAATTTATCGATGTGAGATTTTGCTTTTGAAATCTTGTTTTTCCTTGATTAAAAACTATTCTTTTATTGGAAAAATGTGTCATAAATGATAAGAAATGAGGATATACATAGTATATTAATGATTCAGAGATGTTATTTTGATCTTTTATTTAACTGTAGCCATATTTTATAATTTGGTATTATAATGAACAAGTTTGATTGGCATTTAAATTTTATACAATCCTGAATTGAGAATTTTCTATATTTTATTATGGTATAATCTTATACCTAAAAATAGAGTATTTTTAATAGAGTAGACAGAATTGATAAATTCTGTCTAGTTTGCTATGTAGATTTTTGTCCTTCTAACTTAATATTGTAAATGAATTCTGTACCTTGTTATTCTTTGAATTTTATCATGTTTATATAATTTTAAGCTGCTGCTTTTATGGAGTTGAGATTCTAACTATGCTTAATAATAAATTAAGCAGGACATTTAATGAGGTACCTGGATAGTATTTTGAATAATTTCATTCTCCTGTTCTTTATGTGCATGTGCTTGGAAATTAGGGCTGGCTTCCCAGGGACCTGCAACAAAAGTAGGGGTAATATGATCTCTTCTAAAGCAACGAAGGAGTGCAGCCAGTGCTTATTATTTCACTCTCCAGTAGATATTTTTAACACTTAGCTGCTTGGAAAGTTAGGGCAGAATAACATGCATCTTTACAGCTAGATGCCACTTATTGGCATATGTATATTGTAGGATGACTTTAAGATAAAAATATAAAGAGTACTTATAAGAAATGTGTAGGTAAATATATAAATTTTCTAATTATATCTTGAAATTATATTCTAAGTACAGTATAACACCTGTAATTTATTAAATCACTAATAGTTTAATGCCATAGGCAAATGTTTATATATCATAATTTTATGAAAAGAGACATTCTTATTTTAGGAATAGTTTCAAATGGAATAAAATACCTTATTTTTTCTTTTTAAAGTAATTCATTTAGCCAATGATGATATGATCGTACAGGATGTGTCGCTGTATCCCCCAAAATTGGTTTCTATGTTTTACATTTATAGTAGGATGAGACTAAGGATGTGCTAGTATAATTTGTTTATTCAACATTTATTTATTTTTTCATGATCTAATAGCTTTTTAAAAAATTCTTTATTGATGAAGGTATTACATATGTGTCCTTATCCCCCCATTACCCCCACCCCCCTGCAATCCCCGCTCGTGCCCTCACCGCCCTAGTGTCTGTGTCTGTGTCCAGTGGTTATGCTTATATGCATGCATACAGTCCTTTGGTTGATCTCGCCCCCTTCCCCCCACCCTCCCCTGCCTTCCCTCTGAGGTTTGACGGTCTGATCGATGCTTCTCTGTCTCTGGATCTGTTTTTGTTCATCAGTTTATGTTGTTCATTATATTCCACAAATGAGTGAGATCATGTGATATTTATCTTTCTCTGGCTGACTTATTTCACTTAGCATAATGCTGTCCAGGTCCATCCATGCTGTTGCAAGTGGTAGAAGTTCCTTTCTTTCTAAGTGAAATGGAGGCATGTTTATTCAATATTTAAATATCCACAGAAGAAAATTAATTTAGTACAATGTAGTGTATTAGTTGGCTAGGGTATGGGAAAATTTGAATGGTTTTTCTAGAGCAGCACTATTCCAAAAAGAAATGTAACCTGAGCCAAATATGTAATTTAAAATTTTCTGGTAGCCACATTTAAAAAGTAAAAATAAACATGTAACTAATTTTAATATGATTTAATTAACCCAATATATTAAAAATGCTGTCATTTCAACATATAGTGAATATAAAAATTGTTAATGAGGTTTTTTTGTACTAAGCCTCTGAAATCAGGTAGGTATTTTATATTCATAATATATCTCAATTCTGATGCTAAATTTTAATTTGAAATACTTAGTCTGTATAAAGCTTTGCTAAATTCATATTTGAATAAAGTAAATGAAGGTACCCAATTTATTTCCAAACATATTTAAAAGTATCAGTTTTAAATTTAATTTAATTTTTGGCTTTCAATCAAGCTTTTAATGAAAAGGTCATAAAATAACAGTTTCTCATCATTGTAAAATAAGATTCCATGCTTCTGACCAGAGAAATCAGTCCTTGATGAGTTGCTTTCTTATGACACTTGAGGGCTGCATACTTGCATTAGAATTACTTAAAATTAAAAATTTGAGTTCATCAGCCATATTAGCCATATTCCAAGTGCTCAGTAACTGTGGCTAGTAGTTTGGTATCGACAACAGAGTAACAGAGGTAGTTTGGCAATATATATCAAAGATCACAACTTTTGAACTAGCAACCCCTCTTCTGAGAATCTAGAAAGTTGGAAAGATATTTGTAATATAATGTTCATCCGAACTTTTTTTTTTTCCAAAGAAAAATTGAAAACAAATGGAAGAGAACTCTAAGTAAATTATGATAGATAAATACAAAAGATGATGATTTTAAAAATGATGAAGTAGTAAGATTGGCAGAATTTCAGTGGTATTAGCATGATATGACCAAGGGACAAATAAAATTTTAGTTTGGATGATAGATATGATAGTCACATTGCTGATTTTTTTTTACATTTAGAGGTAATCTTATATTTCCAAGGTTGTGATTAGGATCAGTTTTACATTTCAAAGCTTTAAAGTTAGAATAAAGTTAGAAACAGTATAAGCCAGTGGTCGGCAAACTGCGGCTCGCGAGCCACATGCGGCTCTTTGGCCCCTTGAGTGTGGCCACGAAGTTTCAATCGCACTGTTGGTGCGCGCCCACATGTGGTATTTTGTGGAAGAGCTACACTCAAGGGGCCGCAGTTTGCCGACCACTGGTATAAGCCAAATAATTAGATAGACCACTATCCTAATATGTATTAGCTGTATTACCTTCTCTTCCTGACTTTTTTTTTTTTTTAATCTGCAGTTTTATTTGGGAAGTCCTGTCCTGGAGTAGCAAGATAAGAACTTTGGAAGGAAGGAGAATATAAACCTGCAAACTAGTAATTTAAAGATCACCTTTTCAGGGTGTCATTTAAAAACACTTGGTGTCTGGCTGTTAATTTGAATTGGGTGTCAGAAATGTGTGACACCAGTTTTTTAAATCACAGGAAGAGGAGGGAATAGTAGTTTCTAAGCTGGAGAATTGCAGAGGAATGTGATTTTGATGAAACATCAATAGTGGTCTGAAAGGCATGGCTACATAATTTGTAAAGGTGTGAAGAGACTGACACAGTCTGAATCAGTTCTGTTGAATTACGAAAATTAAAAATTCTTTGATTCTGAAAATAAGATATACCTTTTCCAGGAAACTAATTTAGTTACTAATATGCATTTTAAATAATTTACGTGTTTTGTTATGCTACCAAATCCATTGAAAGGATCATTTTATTGGCATCTTATTTACAGGTATGGTTAGCTTCTATTTTAAGAATAAATGATTTTCAACACATTAACTTGATATTTGGAATTTGAAGCATATGTGATTTCCTTAGAAACAATTCTGGGAATGGTGGCCTTGATTCCCAGACAGTGTGGAACATAATTTACGCAGCATCCATAACACTGACCTGATTTTGGATCGTGTAGGTAAAGGGTGTAGGTGGTGCAGGAGTAAGGGACACGTTTTACCCCACTTCTGTTCTGTAGGACTGGCGGCATTGAAAGAGGAACATTTTCTTTGGCCACCGTCCTCCTTTTTTTCCTCCAAAATATTTCACCATTTCTAGCTCATGGGTTTTTGAAAATGTTCTGTGTATTATATTTTTAAGTCTTATTTTTTCATCCTTTACAGCGTTGAATAAAATTAAACTCATTAGAATGTTTGTTCCTGAAAACATTGACACGTACCTTATCCATATGGCAATTGAAATCCTGGAAAAAGATTGTGACAACAGACTGTTATGCCAACCTTCATGTGATTCCAACAAAAAGAGATGTTTTCCCAACTCTGAAGCGAGCTGTTCAAGTCCTAAGAGAAGCAAGGAAGAAGTAGGCCCTGATACCAAGGTGTTAATTATATGAAGAATTTTCATAAAATGTCTGTTCAATTTGCATATTCTAACACTTGAATGCTATTTTTTAAACTGTCATAAATTCTGATATAAGGTTACTTTTTAAATCTGTGTGCTATATTTCTGTTGCTTTTCATCACTCTGAGCTGAGAAAAGTGATTTTTTACATGACAAAAGGTGAATATAGTCTGTCATTTTAGCTTATTGTGTAGAGTATTAGCTTAAATTTTTTCTCTACCTCATATTATATAACCTGGAAATTACCTATCTTTTATAGGTAATTAATACTGTCTTTAAGTATATGACAGTTTATGTGATTAATGAAAATGAAAACAAATTCTAGTATAAATGCCTCCCAAACTGGTGTGTGTTTCATTCTCTCATTCATCAGCTCAGGTACAGGATAATCATGGTTCCTGGTCCTGAGCGTATGCCAGTGCACTTTTTGCAAGATCAGAGAAAGACCATGAATTTAGTATTATTTTAGGTGGCACATTTTATTTAAAAAAATGCTTTGAAAATTATTTCTCTGTGTCTGGTGTGAGAAAAATACTATTCTTTGACAATGTGACTATTAAATGATGGTATGCTAATACATTTGAAAATTTGGCCTTCAGTATCTTCCAGGTCAAAAATTACAGGACTCCATATGTGTTTGTGAAAACTAATAATTAACTAAAAATTATTTTAGTTCCTAGATGATAAATTCAGCATGGTTGTAGGCGGTTACTAATATTTATATTGGAGAATTAGGAGCTCCATTTCAGTTCTAACGTAATCATTATAGGCTTCCCAACAGTTAAACTCCTTTTCTCAATAGAACTGGTCTTATTTAACTACTAGAAGCCTGTTGCACGAAGATTCGCGCAATAGGCCTTCCTTCCCCTGGCTGCTGGCACCAGTTTTCTTCCGGCACCTGGGACCCAGGCCTTTGGTCTGGCTGCAGCCGAGAAGCCAAGCCTCTTCAGTCTTCAGCCTTCACTCCGGCTGGAGCCTTCAGTCTTCGCTCTGCGCCTGTGTATGCAAATTAACCGCCATCTTTGTTGGGTTAATTTGCATAGTCACTCTGATTGGCTGGTGGGCATAGCGGAGTGACACCAATTTGCATGTTTCTCTTTTATTAGTGTAGATGTACTTCAGTTAGGTTTGTTTATAGTCTTGTTCCAGATAACCTCATGAAATTTGATTTATTGGAATTCATTACATTATTTTGACAATTGAGTTAGCTTTAAGAAGGACATTAATGAAAGTATATGTTGGATGATATTAGTGAAATTTGACTTCTATGCCAGCCTTTTATTTCTGAAATCTATACCAGGTGCCTAAGACTTTATTTTTCTCCAACTTCTACTTATCAATACAGAAAAAAAGGTAATTTTTAATTTTTCTTGAATATTGAAATACATTTATATAAAGTATTATTTTAACCACACATCAGCATTTTGCTTTTCCTCTATTGAAATAACATCAGTTCCCAACAACAGAGTGGGGAGACTTTGTGGGGGGTGGATTTAGCCTTTTTTTCCCATTTAGGGGAACAAGGGTTTGGGGGCTGGAAAGTAGATTAAGAGGTGAGTGAGCCAGCCAAAGTATTTTTTCTTTCATCTACCTCCTGCTATGGAAAACTACTCCAATGCTGTCTATCAGAGTCCTAGTTTCAGGATCTTTCATGTATTAACATTCATTGTCTCTACTGACTTGGTTGTATCCCTTCGTGTATTTCTTCTTATAATTCTGAGGCTTCTGATAGAGAATAATGTCAGGACAAGATTTAGTTTTTTTATCTGTTGGTGCATTGTTAGATATACAACTGTTGTGATTGTTGTTAAGATAGAGGCCTAGTCGTGCCTATGTTTAGAGGAGGAAGATTATATCTTGATATGTGGTAGCTGTGAATTAATATACAGAGGTACACAGTGGGTTCTTTAAATATGTAAATATTTTATTTCAGAAAGTTTTCTGATAGTTTTTAAGATTTTGTTTATTTCAGGAAACTTTTCTTAAATTTTACTTCTCATTTCTAATTCTCTCTCGAGCTTTTCTTCACTCAGTTTTGTTTTTCTGATTTTGATTTATGGTGTTCTTTCATGTTTTGAATTATTTTCTTAATCTTTTCAGCTCATTTTGAGAAGTTAGTTATATTCTGTGTCTTAGAAAGTCTTTCTGGTGTCTGGGATTTGACCGTGATACTTTTCTGTTGCTCATTTTCATGTGAAATGAATTTTCCTGCACTTCCCAAAGAAGGCATGGTTCAGGATAGTTTGTCCAGGTTCACAGAGCAATCCCTCCTGTGGTTCTTGTGTAATGTTCAAAGCGTGGAAACTTGGCTATGAGGCGCCCTCCTCTGCCACTTACCCCCGGGCTTTCTCCTCCCTGTGCCTCTGCTAGGCCTGTCCTGCTTGGTTTTTATTTCACCCCAGCAGTTCCCGTGAGTGGGGCCTTCTCCTGGGAGGCAGCTTTGCCTGGTCAGGAGAGTTCTCAGGAGCCAGCTGCTGTCGCCACTCAAAGGGCTACAGTGGGCCCCTTTCAGCCACCTGCAAAAGCCCTCCCACTTTCAGATGCTGTTCTCTGCTCATCAGTCATGCTTTCCAGTAGACGGGTTCTCCTGTGCTCAGGCACCTCACTGCTTGCCTCTGCTTCCTCCCATACAGATGCTGTACCAGGCAGGTCTATGGCTTGTCTTCACATGCTTACAGCTTCAGTTTCCCAGGGATACCTTTCAGCTTTCTTTATTGTAAAAGTAGATGATGAATTTTTGTTTTTTGTATCTAGTTCTATCTGATTTAGTGCTGGGAATCAGAGAAATTTTAAAACTATACTGCTGTTTCTACCATCTTCCTAGCACCCTCTCCTTCTGCATCGCTTTTTTCCTTCTTATTTTTCCTGACTTCCAAAAGAGAGAGAGAATCTCCTGCCCTGCCACTGAGTTTCATTATAAATTAAAATATACAATATTATTTGCAAACTATTTTAAGATACTCATAAAAATGCCTTATAAGTAATATTACTGCAATCATTGTTAAAATTCAATACCTTAGAATAATAATTTTCTTTTTAAATTATATTTATTGGGGGTGACATTGGCTAATAAAATTATATAGGTTTTAAGAGTACAATCCTAAAATACATCATCTGTATATTGTATTGTGTTTTCACCACCCAAAGTCAAGTCTCCTTCCATCATCATATATTTGACCCCCTTTACCCGTTATTACATCCCTCCCCGTGTCCCTCTGGAACCACCATACTATTGTCTGTGTCCATGCGTTTTTGTTTGTCTTGTTTGTTCATTTATTGCTTTCAGTTTTACATCCCATATATGAGTGAAATTATATGATTCTTGACTTTTTCCATCTGATTTATTTCACTTAGCATGATATTCTCAAGATCCATCCATGTTGTCACAAATGGAAGTATTTCAATAAGAATTTTCTTAAGCTTTGCTTTGTTAGGCATAGTGTTTTTTAAGAAAATAGTGCATGCTGTAAATATTTTATATGCCATAAAAATGTTAAAGATTGATGGAAAACATCCCGTGATTGTTCTCTGAAGGAGAAGAGTCACAGAAATGCACTAACTTCTTGGAGTCAGCCATCCAGTGATCCAGAAATAGAAGATTTATTTACAGACTCTCAGTTACAGGTAACATTGATTAGTGAAATAGTTTTTGTGAGAATACATTAGGCTTGATAACTAATATGTTTAGTTATATCTTTGTTTTATATGAAATGAAATACAAATATAGATATTTCTCTATTTGCTTATATATGTGCACATAAAATCAGCAAATGAGTTAATGTTTTGTATACTCAACTTAATGATAATAGTTTGTTAATAGAATTTAGAGTATCAAGAAGATGTAAATGTCACCTTAAAATGTTATTATGATTGCTGGGAAGTTTAGTCTTCTACTGATGAAGGAAGTCATCTCTGACAGGCATTGTTTCTGGTAGGTGAGCTAGACTTCATAATTAAAATTTCCTCAGATACTTATTGTTGAGACTCAAAAGATACACACAGTGTAAGTAAGCTTTCCCTTTTTCTCGCTGAAATGGAAATTATTATTATACTTATAGGAAAAATGCTGAAGATCATATTCTACAGAAATGTTACAGAAGATAAAAGACTTCATATATTAGCTACCAATTAATGAGTGTCATGAATAAATCAGAATGTGTTTTGATGTTTTGCATTTATTCTCACTTAATTCTCCAAATAATCTAGTAATGTTAGGTACTTTTATTCTCATTTTCTGTGTGAAGTAATTGAGGCTTAAAGAACATTCATAAGGTCATTCATTTATCAAGTGACTCCATTAGAACTTAACCTAGTTCTGTCTGGGTTCAAAGTTCCTGCTTATCCCATGGTATTTGGGTACAATAAGACTTCAGGTTTTTTCCTCCTAGATTTCATGCTATGTTTTAGTGTTTGGCTTTGTTATAATCTTAACTCAGTGATTCTCAACCTTCCTAATGCCGCGACCCTTTAATACAGTTCCTCATGTTGTGGTGATCCCCAACCATAAAATTATTTTCGTTGCTACTTCATAACTGTAATTTTGCTACTGTTATGAATCGTAATATAAATATCTGATATGCAGGGTGTATTTACATTGTTACAAATTGAACATAATTAAAGCATAGTGATTAATCACAAAAACAATATGTAATTATATATGTGTTTCCTGATGGTCTTAGGCAACCCCTGTGAAAGGGTCGTTTGACCCCCAAAGGGGTCTCGACCCATAGGTTGAGAACTGCTGTCTTAACTGTTCTATTTTTAAAAAAAATATTTTTATTGATTTCAGAGAGGAAGAGAGAGGGAGATAGAGATAGAAACATCAATGATGAGAGAGAATCATTGATGGGCTGCTTCCTGAATGCCCCCTACTGGGGATGAAGCCCGCAACACGGGTATGTGCCCTTGACCAGAATCGAACCTGGGACCCTTCAGTCCATAGGCCAACGTTCTGTCCACGGAGCCAAACCAGTTACGGCTGTTCTCCTTCTTCTAAATGCACTCAGGGGCCTAACTCTAATTGTAAGCAACTTTAGTTGTCTGTGGCTACAAGGGATGCAGATATTAAGGTCTTTTGGAAATAATAAATATTTCTGTGCCAATTTTATGTCTACCCAAATGCCTTTTATCTGAGCTACTTTATATCCCTAATATTTATTATCTGTAAGGCAAACATTATAGTAAATCTAATAATCTCTTCTCCTGATCATCTCTTCCCTGTGAGGAAATAAGTGCTCAGGAGAAAAGGTACTATATTAAACAGCTTCTTTTTTACTTTTTTTTAAATTTAACTTTTATTTTTTTATTTTTTTTAAATT